AGGCGTGGTTTCCTCTCTTCTTTCTGTATATATTGTCTTTCTACAAGGTTGGGAATCCTTGTATTGGTTACTGCTGCCTAGTTACTTTTTGTTTTGGAGTCAGCACCCAACACACCCTTTTTCTATAAGGCTATCCTTATTAGATAAGGCCTGGGACTAATGAAAGTATTTAGAAAATTGGGCAGACTAGATGGGCCGAATGGTTCTTATCTGCCATCACATTCTATGTTTCTATGTTTCTATGCTGGAACAGGGTGGCCATCCACTACTCCATCCATCTGGACCATCCAGGGTTGTACGGCACTCATCAGTGAACAAGACTGTTTGAAAATTATTCTTCATGTATTTTTCTGCCCAATGCAGCCGTTTCTGCTTGTGAGCATTGGTTAGTGGTGGCCGAATAGAAGGTTTATGCACAGTTGCAAGACTCTGGAGGACTCTACACCTTGATGTCCGTGGGACTCCAGAAGCACCAGCAGCTTCAAATATCTGTTTACTGCTATGTAATGGTATTTTAGCAGCTGCTCTCTTGATCCGATGCATGGATCTGGCAGAAATCTTCCTCAATGTGCCTTTATCTGCACAAACCCGTCTGTGCTCCGAATCAGCCACAAATCTCTTAATAGTATGATGATCACGCTTAAGTTTTCATGAAATATCTAATGTTTTCATACCTCCAAGGCATTGAACTATTTCACTCTTTTCGGAAGCAGAGAGATCCTTTTTCTTCCCAGTATTGGATGAAAATGGTGCTCTGCTTAATAATGTGGAACATCCCTCCTTTAGTAGTTTTTCCTTAAATTGGGCTCACCTGGCAATCTAATTATCACAGGTGTTCGAGATTGTTTTCAGTGAACAAAAGAGCCCTGAGACACAATGCCATCAATGAGTTAAACTGAAAAACAAAATATTTAATCTTTGTGACACTTAAATAGAATTTGCCTAATAATTTGGAACAGGGTGTAGTTTGTGAAGCGACTCGAGTTATGAGGTTAGTAATTTGGTTTTCTGTTGTTTCCTGTGGGTAGCTGTTTTTATTAGGAACCCCCTAATCACAGCCTTGAGTGTCGTCTATACTGTGGCTATTGCTTTGGAAGTAAGTGGTTATTTGTCTGCGTAGTTGTTGTAGTATGATGGGGTCCTTGAGGAACAAGGCGTTCAGACTCCCTCTTCACGGGGACAAGGCACTTATGTTGCCGAGGGTGATGGTTACATCAGCGTGGTCTGGTCAAGTGATGGACCCGATCTCTGTCTGCAAGACTTTGTGCATTCCAAGATTGTGTGTGAGGAAATAATCAATCCTTGAGTATGTATTGTGGGGAGCTGAGTGGTACCTGTAGTCTGCGGTACTAGGGTGTTGTGCCCTTCCATGCGTCGATAAGACCGGTGATCCGAATGAAGTGATGGACAAGTGATCTGAATGAAGTGATGAAGTTGGTGCCCAAGCCATGAGAGCGCGTCATCCCAGGTCTAGCCCTCCTGTCCGCAGCAGGACACGGACTGCGTTCAAGTCTCCCCCTAGTAAAACAATGCCATGGGGCAAGGAGTCAAGTATAGAGGACAGGTTGTCCCAGAAAGTCTGAGTCGGGGCGTTAGGGGCATAGATGTTAAGCAAGTGTAGTGTTTGGAAGAACATTTGTCCTGACAGGACATTGTAGCATACCTCCGGGTCTCTGACAGCACTCGTGATAGCAAACGGACATCGTTTGTGTATCAGTATCACAACTCCGTTTTGATTCCGGTGTGTCCTAGCCTCAGTTGTTGAGGTATAGATGTGATTTTTTGAGTGAGAATTGGGCTGTCCTTGGTATGTGTGTCTCGAGTAGGCAAGCCCTTCCTTATAGGCATAAGGGCACTCAGGCGCCCCCCCCCCTACCCGTGGTCGATCGAAGAATAGGGACAGTAAGGAAAGAATACAACAAAAACATTAGATAAGTATGAATGTAGATTCATAACGGGTATTTCAAACATAGTAACCTTGTGAACCCTAGAGGTCTCTCACTTCAACCGTTCTGTCACCTGCTCAACTCACTGTGGATTTTCCGTAGGTGTAGCACCCCCACCCTCCTCCCCCCCATTGCCTCCGACCTAAACTGTCAGGCTCTGTTTGTGGGGATGTCATATGGGTAGTCGCAAGTATTTGGGAGTCGGGATGCGTCCGTCAGCACCCGGGTTTCTCAGGTCAGGGAGGTGGGCCCTGTGGGTGGAAGCTGTTCAGGTGCACTCCCCGCGTCTCGTAAGCGCCTTATTCCCCTGGTTGGTTTGCAGTGTGGGGGTACTGTTGAGTCGTTTCTGAGTTGGCTACAGTCATATTTCGGGGTGTCTGGGCGAGACGTTTGGTCGGCAGTCTGTCTTGTTTGAGGTCCTGGAGAGATCTAGGCTCAGTGGCTGTATAGACACACAATAAGGTAACATTTAGACATTTAGAAACGGTTCAAAACATTGCAACATAAATCCGGGTCTATACTAGCACCTTCTCGACCCCCTCAATTCCCCTTAACAATTGTGTTCCGCTAACTGCGGGTTCCTGTGTGCTAAACTGATAGCTCCCACCTCGCTACCTTCCCCCTACCCTGCCGCCTCCCCTCCCTCGGTATCCGTCCCTTAAGGTTCCTAGTCCAGAACAGTTTTCTGTGGGTTGATTGAAGGGTCATGTATTGGTGTCGCCCTGCTCTTGTAGCGGCCATGGTACTTGGATCGCCAAGAGACCCCCGTATCCCGTCCACCTCCCCAAAAACACAGTGAGTCCCCCTCCCGTCCCCATGTTGTCAGAGTACCTGGTATGTGTTGTAGACCGGTCAGAGCCTGGCGGGAAGGCGGTTCTGGGAGTGAAAGTCCTGTGCTAGCCTCCGCATGCCCGATGTCACTCCCTGACTGAATACCAGTCCCTTGGTATGGTCGGGAGGCTTGTGGCTGATTTCTGTGGTACCTGGGTGCTGGTCGGGATGGGTATCTTCAGGGATTGCATTAAGATGGCGGGGTCCGCACTGGGCTGTAGAACCTGTGGATACCCATTCTGGAAGGTGATTAGTTTGAAAGCGTGGCCCCAACCATAGCGGAGGTTGTTGTTTCCCAGCAGGTTGGTGATCGGCCTCCACTCCTTGCGTTTAATTAAGGTGACAGGAGAAAGGTTCTGGTATATAGTGAGAGTATGGCTGTTGTATTTGATGGGGCCTTCTCTGCCTCTCTGGATGATTGCTTCTTTTGTTTGGAAGTGAAGGAAGCGCATGATGACATGCATATCTATGAGGAGGTCCTGATTGGGCAAAACGGTATTTGGCCACACCCCGTGCCGATTTTAGCCGATCCAATGCTTTCCCTATAGGAAAGCATTGAATTGGCAAAAAATTGGCCATTTTGATGATGTCACAAAGGGGACGGCGCCACGCGGTGCTGGAAATAAGGTGAGTTTTAAACTTTTATAGGGGGGCAAAGCCACCTAAATGGTGGATTTAGCACTATAGGGTCAGGAATACATGTTTGTATTCCTGACCCTATAGTGATCCTTTAATTAACAGTGCAGGAGATAACAAGTTTTAAATCAAACCCACTGTGTTGTTACATCTGTTTGAAAATTAAACTGTTTTCATGTAGGCTGTGTGAGTCACAGCCAGGGAAAGTGTGGATAGGGCTGCATTAACTCAAACAAAATTTTTTTTAATTTGAACCCCAATTCAATTTTGCTAGCACATGCACAGATTTAGAGAAGAAAAACATTTAAAATAGTTTTTTTCTCCCATCTTTCTCTCAATTCCTCAGCAGCTGAATTCCAAAAAATTGAGAGACGGGGAAGCAGAAGAGTTCTCCAACCCACTGTGGTTGCTATGGTAACTCCTGATCCAGTGCTGCTAGCACCGGCTAGTAGGAAGTATTTGAACTGAGTGACATTGCGTCACCATGTTTAGACGCTGGCGTCATGGAGGAGGTTTGCTGTGCTTGGGGAAGTGTCCTCAAAGAGGGCAAACTGGCAAAGACCAGAGGAGGAATGCGGACGGACCAGAGGTTAGTGTTATAGAAGTGTAGTAAAATGATAAATAAAAATCACTGTTTAGTAGATATACACCAAATGAAAACTTGCATGCATTTAATTATGCATTTTTTCATTTGAATAATAACTAAAGACAGCTTGCAAAACCTGCAGATCTCATCTGCAGCCTTTGCAAGTCCTCCCCTTCTAACCCCGCCCAGACTTTTTGTGACTGTCCAATCAAACTTCAGAGTGCAGCTCAATGAGAAGTCTTTGCAAGGCAGGTGCTCAGAGCAATTGTTGCCTCTTGAGTTCAGTGCAAATAAGACAACCAAACCAGGATGTAACAGGACCTCTTGTCTATTTGAAAAGCCACGGGGGTGTAACCAGTATGATTTATAAAAGTGCCAATTTCAATTGAAATCTGCACTATTTCCAAAATGAAAGAAAGAGGACACACTCACCACACATAAAGCTTTCCAGCAAGCTAAAGTGCTTTAGGTGTCTGGAGTGTCCCTTTAAGTAAGCAAACCTATAGCGGAGTTAGAACGTTTTTCCAAATCAGCTAATGTTATTACCAATTTTACCATTCTTATTTGAGTTTTGTATTGTTTCTTATATCTATTGTACCTTTGCCTTGTGTTGGCTCTTTATAAATAAAGAATAATAACCATTTGGGTATGCTACTACTTGGAGTTTAGTAAATAAACCCGTGTGTATGTATAGTTTGTCATGGTACTCACTGGTACTCTTGTGGCTGTTGAACAAAACGTCAACATAATTACATATTAAAGGCAAAAACATTGGAAGGTGTGAAATGGTGACTAGGGTGGCTGACAGGCCAAGTCTCTGTCACTCAAGGATTCACAGGGCAGTGTACTGGGGACAATTCCCTGGTATTTTAATGTGCAGGGCACAAGCAAAATTATTCACTAACATGTAAATTGGGGGGAAATTCAGATGAATTTGAAATTTTAGGCAAAAATAGGAGCATGGAAAACAGATGATTTGGAGAATTTTTATTTTTTTTGTGTAACATTTGAAATTCACATGGAATTCATGACAGATCACACTGCAACGCACTTCTTCGGGGAACATATCTAGGACATAAAACCTGAGATTATTAGGAGGTGTAGGATAAAAAATAGTGGAGCATGTGTCTGGGATAGTAATCTGCACCAATCTTAAGTAACACTGGGAGATGTATGTCTCAGTGTTGACCCCACAACAAAGTTCTCCTTTTAACCTCTACACTACATTAACACTATAGGTAAAGATTAACCCTACACTGCATTAACACTATAATTAAACATTAACTCCTACACTGCATTAACACTATAACTAAACACTAACCCCTACACTGCATTAACACTATTACTAAATACTAACTCCTACACTGCATTAACACTACCACTAACCCCTACGCCACGTTAACACAATAACTAAACACTACATTAATACTATCACTAAATACCAACTCTTATACTGCATTAACACTATCACTAACCCCTACACCGCATTAACATTATCACTAAACACTAATCCCTACAGTACTCAGCCTTAAAAACCTTTAACCCCTTAAGGACACATGACATGTGTGACATGTCATGACTCCCTTTTATTCCAGAAGTTTGGTCCTTAAGGGGTTAAAACATCATGACAATTAATGTCTTTATGGCATTTTTTTCCTAATATACATAGTTCACCTTTATATGTTTTAATATAAATCAATATCCCCCTACCTTCCTATATGAGCTACATTATATGCATATCCTCTATCCATATTGTGTATGCAGCATGCATTAGTAATAGTATATAGTCATGGCAGCTCTCCCAACCTGTCCCAGTGACCCTTTATATTTTTATATAAATCTATATTCACCTACCTACCTGTATGAGCTATTTATTATATGAATATTGTCTATACTGTGTGTACAGAATGTATCAGTATGTGTGTATACAGCAATAGCAGCTCTCCCAGCCTGTCCCAGCGACCTTGCTCTCACCCTGTGGCTGTCTAGGTTTTGCCCCATTGCAGGCTGGCTAGGTGTTGCCCCGTTGAAGGCTATCTAGGTGTCGACTTGTTGCAGGCTGGCTTGGTGTTGACCTGTTGTAGGCTGGCTTGGTGTTGACCTGTTGTAGGCTGGCTAGGTGTTGACTCTTTGCAGGCTGGCTAGGTGTTGTTGACCCATTGCAGGCTGGCTAGGTGATGTTGCCCCGCTGCAGGCCGGCTAGGTGTTGTTGCCCCGCTACAGGCCGGCTAGGTGTTGTTGACCCATTGCAGGCTGGCTAGGTGTTGACCCACTACAGGCTGGCTAGGAGTTGACCCATTGCATGCTGGCTAGGTGTTGTTGGCCCATTGCATGCTGGCTAGGTGTTGTAGGCCCATTGCAGGCAGGCTAGGTGTTGCAGGCAGGCTAGGTGTTGTTGCCCCATTGCAGGCTGGCTTGGTGTTGTTGCCCCATTGCATGCTGGCTAGGTGTTGTTGCCCCATTGCATGCTGGCTAGGTGTTGTTGACTCAGTGCATGCTGGCTAGGTGTTGTTGACTCATTGCATGCAGGCTAGGTGTTGCCCCATTTCAGGCTGGCTAGGTGTTGTTGATCCATTGCAGGCTGGCTAGGTGTTGATCCATTGCAGGCTGGCTAGGTGTTGACCCATGTCAGGCTGGCTATGTGTTATTCAGGCTGGCTAGGTGTTGGTGTTGTTCAGGCTGGCTAGGTGATGACCCATGGCTGGCTAGGTGTTATTCAGGCTGGCTAGGTGATGACCCATGGCTGGCTAGGTGTTATTCAGGCTGGCTAGGTGTTGTTGACCCATTGCAGGCTGGCTAGGTGATGTTGCCCCGCTGCAGGCCGGCTAGGTGTTGTTGCCCCGCTACAGGCCGGCTAGGTGTTGTTGACCCATTGCAGGCTGGCTAGGTGTTGACCCACTACAGGCTGGCTAGGAGTTGACCCATTGCATGCTGGCTAGGTGTTGTTGGCCCATTGCATGCTGGCTAGGTGTTGTAGGCCCATTGCAGGCAGGCTAGGTGTTGCAGGCAGGCTAGGTGTTGTTGCCCCATTGCAGGCTGGCTTGGTGTTGTTGCCCCATTGCATGCTGGCTAGGTGTTGTTGACTCATTGCATGCTGGCTAGGTGTTGTTGACTCATTGCATGCTGGCTAGGTGTTGTTGACTCATTGCATGCAGGCTAGGTGTTGCCCCATTGCAGGCTGGCTAGGTGTTGTTGATCCATTGCAGGCTGGCTAGGTGTTGACCCATGTCAGGCTGGCTATGTGTTATTCAGGCTGGCTATGTGTTATTCAGGCTGGCTAGGTGTTGGTGTTATTCAGGCTGGCTAGGTGATGACCCATGGCTGGCTAGGTGTTATTCAGGCTGGCTAGGTGTTGTTGGCCCATTGCAGGCTGGCTAGGTGTTGTGTTATTGCAGGCTGGCTAGGTGTTGACCCATGGCTGGCTAGGTGTTGACCCATTGCAGGCTGGCTAGGTGTTGTGTTATTGCAGGCTGGCTAGGTGTTGACCCATGGCTGGCTAGGTGTTGTGTTATTGCAGGCTGGCTAGGTGTTGTGTTATTGCAGGCTGGCTAGGTGTTGACCCATGGCTGCAGTAGGCAGTATCCTTTGTGCTGGGCCAGGTATCTCCACCCACCAGCAGGCAGAGTGTGGGCACTTCCGGGATGCTGGCAGGAGGTGAGGCACTTCCGGTTGCAGTCTCCGTGGCCGGATGACGTGGCTGAGCGGCCGCTGAGAGGGCGGCGGGTGTAGCAGGACTCGGGGTTTCCAGTTCCAGCAGCAGCCGGAGGAGGAGGAGGGCGGAGAGAGGAGACATTACGGAAGCAGCCGCCGCCGACACATCCCCCCCCCCGCCTTCCGCTGTGTATCCCGAGCCGCCAGGACACGATGAGGCCGCTGACGGTGCTGCTGCTGTGCGTGTCCGCGCTGTGTGTGACGGCGGACGAACACGAGCACACGGTGAGACCCCGGGCCGGTGCAGGCCCGCTCTGTGTAACGTGACCCCCCCACTCCCAGGCCGCACAGCCACCCTGTCACCGGCTCACTATAACCACTGACAGAGGGGCTATGGGCCTGAGTGTGAGTGCAGGCTTAGGGGACATGCCCAGGCCTCAATCACTGGGACTCCAATCATGCTCAGCCACAGGGGGAAAGGCTGGCTGGGCGTCATTGGAAGAGAGAGTTTATTCTCTGTATTCTGAAAGCTGTTGTAACACACACAGAGGCTGCAAACTGTCAGGATGTGAATATAAATATCTAAACCGGAGCTTCATTTAATTATTTAACGAAATAAGCCTCTGCCTACATTCTGCAATCTGGTTTCCAGCTCACTGTTTGTGAAAATGCAGTGCCTGGGGTGTAGGAGAAATATGATATGGATTTTAGTATGTGGAGTGTAAGGCCTAATACATACAGAACACGATCTGTTCTTTTTGCCATTTTACTTATACTGATTATCAGAATGTGCTGCAATCCAAAGGATCTCGTGTGACATGTTGGTATCCTGCTTGGCATGTGCAGTGATTATTTCAGAGCTATTCTCTAAAGCAGGACATGTCCAGAACTGACAAGGAAATTTCAAATACTAGGCCAACATCTCCAAATCAGCTATTTTTTATTCTAGCTTCCCTAACTTGCTCTTAAATTTGCATTTCTCTTAATGACTACAGTATAGTGCATTTTACTAAGCAAGCACAATTAATCCTTTTTTTTTTTTTGTCACATCATAGTTATCCGACAAGTGCACTAAAATAGAAAATATTTTGTAGGTGCCATTAGGTTGTGACATTGAACGGGAATCTAAATATACATACACGTGGACATGTCACAACTACTCAATCTATAGAATTGTTTGTAGGTTAGTTGTGGTGTTTAAAATCGTGTTGACATATACGTAATAGAAATGCCAATCATTGCCACATAATTTGATGCCAATATTTAGTTAGTCATATTCCATTCAAGATGTTGGCACCTTCTTTTTGGGAACCACAAATATTTAGCTCTCTTTAAGAAGTGGTAGCACAACAGATATATGTAAAAGCTCACCTGTTAACTCTATTTTGGATGAGACCTGCCTTTAGAATTTATTTGAAGATTCAGCAGAAGAGGTTTTCGGAATCACCTGTAATCTCAATACCTTCTATTTATGAAGTATATTTTGGAAACCTAGATAGAGACAAGCTATGTTATATGCATACTTGTATTCTTCCCATTTTAAAACACCTGCTTAAGTTTGTTTGGTTCCAAGCATATAGTCTTTGTATATAATAGTACTTTTTGTGCTAAAACTTTTATATAAGTAGTAAACATTTTATTTGTGATTGTGTGAATGTTAATGAGGTCAATGTGAGCCCATAAATTAATTTTAACTCCTGCTTTGTTAGCAAATTGGTTATGTGAAGACATTTTTGCGCCGCTTTTACACACCTGAGCTGATTTGTTTTCACACTTCCTGGATACGTACAAAAGGAAATGCCACATGCACAGGTTTCAGATACTTAATTCATATTGTTCACTGCAATCCTCAGAGCAATAAGCATATTCAAGGCTGAATATATAGATTTTAGTTTTATTACTTTTATCTTGGAAAACTGATATGTCTTAGGTATTCAAATACTTCTTGGGTGTTGTAAAATCTACTGTTAGAAGGGTTAAAAATCTTCTAATTTTTGTAAAGTAGTGCTTTGTTGAACGTAGCATTAACATTAAAATTTTTAGGAATTTGAAATTAATTTTGACAACTTTATTACAGCTTTTGATACAATCAATGCATAGAGGCTCAAGATTACATTTAAACATGAATACTGTATATTTTGGATTATAGAATTACAAAAGAAAATAATCACATCTATAATATATATATATATATATATATATATATATATTGAATAATGTTTATCAATTTTTAAATAAAGTGTGGCAGTAATAGGGGAAGGTACAATATCTCTCCAACCACAGGTGGTAAGGTTCCATGCCAACATAAAATATAAAACCTTACAGGCAGCATACAATCGTAGCACAGCCTGCCAGTTAGCAATATAGTCCTTTGTGATTACCTGGTAATTGGCCTGTAACCTGATTTAGGTGAAAGCAGAGCGTATGCAGATGAGCTGCAAAACTGGAGAGGTGGGAGGAAAGAAAAAAAGAAGGCTCTTTCTGTGATCAGTTTACACTTTTTGTCCAAATCTTATAAATGAATAGTTGTTCAGCTATGATTGTAAAGTTCTCATAAACTTGTGTTTAGCAGTAAAACTTTGACAAATTCTTCTATCTTTTAAATATATTCTCATTTTCTAAGAATATACCTAGTTCATTGGTGAAGGTTGGCAGCAAAACATTAATATAAAATTTGTTGTTCAATATTATAAAATGCTGCTGATCTGCTCCATGTCCTTAATTTCTCATGCTTCTCTTTGTTTATGTACTACTATACTGTGCAAATAATTTCAGACTCCCTTTCTCATAATAATTAAAAATGTAAACTCTCGGCTTGCACATCATGGCTTCCACTTTTACTTAAGACTGTTTCTTAATGCCCTCTACTTTACTCTCCATCTCTCATCAAATCCATTTTATCTTACAGGACTCTTTCTGAAGTGCTCATATCTCTAAAACAAAAATATATATTAAGAATAATGGCAAAGATGGGGTGTCAGTCATCTACACGGACCAATAAATGACTCAGATCTCTCAGCCAATTATGGCAGTCACAAGTTATTTATTTTGTGGCAATGATGTACATAATGCATAAACCACTGCACAACAAGAGTTTATAAAATGTATAGTAGCTCTGTTTCCTTTGAGAGCTGTGTAGTGTGTTGTACTGTTTACATTTTGTGATTCCCACTAGACGTGTGCACAGTGGAAAACTTTGGTTTGGCTTTTGTTGACAATGCAATGTCACCACATGGCTGAACCATTTTTTCCAAAAAGGAAATTTAGTTGGTACCTCTGACATTGGTTCACTTGATGGATTGCTTTGTCCAAATATCATTCACAAAAAAAATATCTGGATAAAATTATTAGAACAAACAAAAAAAGTGAGGGAAATGTGCCAAACAATGTGTATGTTTTCCAGTACCCTGAAATTTTCTGCCATTTGAGTCACAGATCAAGTAAAAAAAGTAATCATTAGAGAGAAAAAGAGGAAGAGCATAAAAAATATATATTTATAGATTATTTTTTTCTACTAGTTTTTCTCTCTATCTATTAGACTTTTCTCATTTGATCTGTGAATAAAATCAACATTAAATAGTGGCCCTCTAGTCATCAATCATCCTTCCCTCCCCCCCCATCATTATGTTTATTTGGTTTTGTGCCATGGGCATAAGTGTGAATCCTGAAGCAAACGAACATGCTTGTCTATCACACTTGTTTGCTCAATAATGCACCCATATGGCGACTTTGGAGATATGGAATTGGCTGACCTGCCGATCAGCCTAATTTGGGCGGATTGCAATTCTACTGAACGCAATTTCACTGCATTAGTGGCTGCAGACTAGGGCACTGCACTAAAATAGTTACTGTAACTATTGATATCTGACATCATAATGTAAAATATGCCGTTTCGTGCGTCCAGTGCTTTTCTGTGAGAAGCATTCTATTCTGTGCTTCTCATAGAGATGTGTTGGATTTGTGTATTGCTGCAATTGTGCACATAAGTAATGTGTTCTTAAAGGGACACTATAGGCACCCAGACCACGCTGTCATTGAAGTGGTCTGGAAGCAGTAATCCCGTCCCCTTAATCTTGCAATGTAAAACATTGCTTTTTTAAATTATTATTATTATTATTATTATTATTATTATTATTATTATTATTATATAGAGAAACTGCAATATTTACATTGCAGGTTTAAGACTTCCACTAGTGGCTGTCTATCAGATGCTGAACATCCTAACGGTTTGCATGAGGGCCACACATTAGGTTCCCTGATCGCAATGTCGGTACTCTGACCCAATGCCGGATGAGCTCGGCGCTGGAATTTTGGTAAGTGAATAAAGGTGTTTGTTTTTTTTAAACCCTCTCATTAATGGCTGGGTAGAGGGCTCTGGGTTGTTCCTTTAACAATATTATAAGGATGGATCTGCATTAGACCTCATTCATATACCATGATTTTTCTGACCTTTAGTGACACTATCTAAGTTTTCATTTTTTGTAAATAGTTAATATTTGAACACATGTACTCCAAGATAATCCAGGAATTTACATAAGACAGTTGAGTTTAGTAACATATGAATGTATTCATAATTTGGTCAATCCATAGATTTCTACTCAACGTTTTGAGGTGTCAGTAACATTTAGGGCTATACTGGTATGGCTCCTGGACTTTGTCAAGCACTATTTGTTAGGGTGCAAATTGACTTCATGCAGTTCTGTCTCGATGATGATGATGTGGAAAATTGCCCGATAGGTGTGTATACTCAATACACCATCACAAATGTGACTAATTATGTGAGTTTTGCTGTTTACTATAGTCCAAAGCTCAAATGGATTATTTGATCTGCACAACCCACATGTTAAAGGAACACTCCTTAGAAAAAAAATATTCTAGCATTTAGTTGATAAATAACATTTGAATCAGGCATCTCAAATTCCAGCTACCTCTCTCCACAATGACCCTGATCAGCTACAACATTAAAAGCATCTGCCTAACATTGCGTAGGTCCCTTGTGCTGACAAAACAGCTCTGATGTGTAGAGGCATTGACTCCACAATATCTCCGAACATGTCCTGTGGTATCTAAGACACTGGCACCAGATCCTATAAGTCCAAATTGTGAGGTGAGGCCTCATGGACCATTTTTGTTGTTGCAGCATATCCCACAGATTTGAAATTGTATTGAGACCTGGAGAAGTTGGAGGCAAAGGCAACACCTTGAAGTGAACTGTTTGTCATGGTCCACAACCCATTCCTGAACAATTTATGCAGTGTGGCAACAATTCTCTGTTTTGCCCCCTTAAGCAATATTTAAAGTGGGCATTTTCCTTCTGCGTTAAATATTTTAATTTTAGTTCTATTTGGATGGATTTAATTTTCTGAGAGAATCAGCAGTTTCTCTCAATTAGAGTGACACATTAGGCACCCAGACCACTTCATATAATTGTAGTGGTCTAGGTTAAGTGTCCCTGTCTCCTTAACCCTGTAAGTGAAAACATTTAGAGAAACTGCAATGTTTACATTGCAGGGTTTAAACAAAGACTAGATGTGCTTCCTGTATTTTTAGAGATTTTTATTTCCCCCATTGGGAAGAGTTGATTTTAAGGATGTCCTTTGGGGGAGGTCTGCTAACTATTTAGGTGAACACCCCTAATTTGAATACAGCTATTTGCTTACCTTTTGGCCCTCGCTGCTCTTATCTGCGTGCGATGTTCTCAGCCAATGCAATGCTTTTTCACAGGGAAGCATTGGGGGACTCGTGCACATGCACAGCAAATCAGTGTTGCGTTAAACCGCATCTCTTGAGTCAGTTCTTCTCTATGGGGAGCGTTCAGTAATTCCACGCTCTGCATTCTTTGCAAACTCAGAAAGTCGCTATAGTGGTTGAAGTGACCGCCTATAGACCACTTTTATATCATTGATGTGGTCTCGGTACAGTGTGCCTGTCCTTAGTCCTCCAGTTTGAAAAAATGCAGTATTTACATTGCAGGACTAAGACATTCTTTAGTGGGTGAGAGGAAGACTTGGACCAGAGGGCACTATAGTGTTAAGTTACAACTTTGTTTGTAACACTGTATAATCCCTTTAAGCAGCAGTGTCAACACTGCCTCTTCTCAGAAAATGCAACATTTACACTGCTGAACCTGCAGGGACAGGCTTTATGCCCCATAACCACTACGGCTATGTAACTTAGTAACTATATATGACCTACATGCTTTTTAATTGTTTTTTTTTTTTTGCTTAAAGGACCACTATAGGCACCCAGACCACTTCATCTTAATGAAGTGGTCTGGGTGCCAGGTCCAGCTAGGTTTAACCCTTTTTTTTCTGTAAACATAGCAGTTTCAAAGAAACTGCTATATTAAAATAGGGTTAATCCAGCCTCTAGTGGCTGTCTCATTGACAGCCGCTAGAGGCGCTTCTCACTGTGATTTTTACAGTGAGAAGACGACAGCGTCCATAGGAAAGCATTGAGAATGCTTTCCTATGGACTGGCTGAATGCGCACGCAGCTCCTGACGCTCATGTGCATTCAGCCGAGAAGGAGAAGAGTCCCCCGCCAGGCGCTGGAGAAAGAGGTAAGTTTAACCCCTTCCACCCCCTAGGTGGGGGCAATCTATAGTGCCAGGAAAACGAGTGTGTTTTCCTGGCACTATAGTGGTCCTTTAACAACTTGAATTGATTCAGTAGCATAATAATTGATTTTAATGCTGAGTTTAAGTATTAACTTTTTAAGAAATGGGCTTTGCTAGATATTAACAATGCAAGTAAAGATTCAGAAAGAAATACGGGAGAAAAAAAAGCTCATTACTTTTTTTTTCCAGGGACGAAACTCCTGTTGTGCTGTTGTCCACGCTGCCTCCTGTGACTTCATCGTGTAGACGTCGCTTCCTGGAAGATCGTCCAATCCAATACTTCTCACAGAGCCACGTGAATGTCCTGCCAAATGGTTTTCACAGGGAAGCATTGAATTCAGTGCTTGCCTATGAATTACATTTGGGCGCATTACAGACTTACAATTGGTTAGTGCACAGGAAACGCCTCTAGTGGTTGTGTGGAAGACAGCCAATAGAGCTGTATTTAAAGGGACACCATAGGCACCCACACTACTTCAGCTCATTGAAGTGGTCTGGGTGCATAGTCTCACTTCTCTAATCCTGCAAAGCATTGAAAACTGGAATAATTACCTTTGAAAGTTAACTCCACCTCTACTGGCTGTCTACCAGAAAGCTAATAGAGGGAATTTTGTGACTACTTTTGGTCGCCTAACTGGCACTGGACGTCTTCACCCTATGCATGAGGACATCAAGCACCATGTAAAACCTTATAGGAAAGTTTTATACATGCTCTCCTACTGGGAAATACTAATGCGAGCGCAGCCATTGATGCACATGAACATTAGGTCTCCCGGCTGGTGTTGGCAGGATAGGAGCAGAGGCGGAGCCCGAAACAGTGCCTAGGAACATTACTGGTTGTTATGCTGATCAATAAATTTTCTGTTAGGCAGATTATCTGCCTAAAGCATTTTTGCCACCAGTCATTGCCAAAGTTAGTGGTAATGCTTGGTTTTTGCGCTTTTCTTCCACGTTGCTTGGAACTTTTTGCATAGATTATGTTCAACAATATCTCCAGTTTGCTGAAATATGCCACATGCCCTAATATTTTTTTATGCTTTCTTACAGACCAAGATTTGTAGCATGCTTACATATATTTTCAGCAAAGAAAGTACATTAAAATAATTTGAACATATTGATGTAAACAATGGGACACAAGTTTATTAGCAACATCTGACTTATTACATATGAGTGTTTTGACAATCACTGTGTCTAAAATCTATTCAGAATAATTCTCATAGAATGACTTGTGTTTAGTTTTAACACTCAATAACAAAACTGTTTGACAAAACAGTACTGAAAAGTGTAGCTAAGACCTGTTAGAGGCTTTTGTGGTGTGCGATCACTTCCCTGAGCTGTCAGCTTTCCAGTATGCTATTTTCGAGACTGACCAGATCAATTTTGTGCAACTATTGTGTCTTATCAGCATGCCCAATGTGCTATACCCAAACATAGGCCTTGATTTAATTCTTTTTGGATAAGCTTTTCAAAAGATTTAATATTTCTAGATAAACTTTTTAAATTTTTTCAAAATATTAACATATAAAAATAGATAATACATAAAAATAAAAAGTTTTTAAAAATGTATCCAAAAATCACACCCCCCCCAAAAAAAATTAAAGATTAAATCAAGACCATAATGGACAACCCGCAGTTCCTTGCGGCTGCCGTATTTTCATCTGTAGCATACTGCTAACAGTGGCAGCAAAATAGATTTATGCAGTCTTGGCAAACTGCAGACCTGAGGTGTCACTTGGCGTCTCTGCAGTTAGACATCCTGGTATATGTCCTTGCAGAATGTAGGCTGTGATCCCATACTGCCCAATTTCAAAGCTAGGCAATTAGTCTGAAGCATTTGCTTGGGCATTGCCTAGCACTAAAAAGGAAGTAAGTGCTGGGCAGAAATAGAGTGGATCTTTGTTACCTGCAGAGGCAAGTTTTTCAGATAATAGAATGGAGTTTTAATAGCTTTGGAACTATTTGTGCAAGTTTAGTAAATTCATATTTTTGGCAATTGATTGTATACGTTACAATATAGAAAAATTCAAATAATATAAATATATGTATGTGTGTGCATATATACATATGTACACACACGTGTGTGTGTGTAGCAATATTTCAGGGCTAAATGATCTAGTGCACTTCTAGCAGTATACAACCTTTGTAATGGGATTCTATGCTATATGACCAATGCCAAGTAGAAGACTTGTCATACAGGGTCAGTGCTTTCCTATAGGTACTCTGCAAGAGAAAATGAATATCTTTTCATAATTGCCTTCTGCCGTTTCAGTTAAGTCTGTCTAATCACAGGTTCTAGAATCAGGGATTCTTGCTTTTGCCTTCATAAAAGTAACTACAATAAAAACAACAAATCCTCTTTTCTTTTGCGCTCTAATGTTTAATATCTAGTCTTCTGTTGTTTCTTTCCTGCTTAAATAGCATTTTTACTCCTAATATTTGAAACCATGTCAAATGGGGTAATACCGTTTTCAGAATTTATACCAATCCCCTCTGCATGTTTTTATATGTTCAAACAATTTGCAAATGATGCATTGTAACTTTATTTTCCCCCCCTATTTTTGTTATTTCTAACATGCAGTATAATGACAAAGAAGAAGTTGTATTGTGGATGAACACCGTGGGCCCGTACCACAATCGGCAAGAGACATACAAGTACTTCTCTCTGCCGTTCTGTGAGGGAACCAAGAAAAGTATTAGCCATTACCATGAAACTTTAGGTGAAGCTCTTCAAGGAGTGGAGTTGGAGTTTAGCGGGTTAGATATTACATTCAAGGGTGAGTAGTTAAATTCTTGTTTACAAACCTATAATTTGTATTGTAAATGTATTCAGTGTGTACACTATATGATACACCGCAGTCTCTGCCCCTTTGCCATTTCATCATTACTAATGATGTATATGTACTCTCATTAAAGTACAACTGTCATATTTGAGGTAATGGAGAGTCCAGGCTGCACAATTTTTTTTGTATTTTGTTTTTGCGTGGTTTATTCTTAATTTTTTTTCCAACTTGTATAAGTTTCATCAACTGAAATGGCACACACTGGACACATGCACATACTTATTTTTCCTTGATTCTTCTAGTAAAGTTCTGACGTGTAAGAACTTGTGATTTGCTTACTCTCTTTGGTCAGAAAATGCCATTTTTGAAGTTGTGGTCCAGTCATCCTTAGATTTATGAAGCATTGGCTGTATATCCTGATGACTTCAACAACTATTAGAGAAAAATGCTTACTCCAAAACCATGACCACTTCTGTGTTTAGAAGTGGTTGTGGTAGTGCGAGTTTGTATGTGCAGCATTTCTGCTTGAGAAAGATATTTGCACTTTTGTCCCAGGGGCTAGTTTCACCCTGGCACACATGCTCTGGATTGCCAAATGTAATTTTTTTTTTTTTTTTGGAGCGAATTCACAGCTCTTTTTAAGCAGCTTTGTGATTCCTGGAATGGGCAGCTGATCTAACTGTAAGCTTACATGATCCTCTAACTATAAATACATATTGAGGGGTTTTGGGGTGAGCATTACTCAGCAAATCTGCAAACATTTCCTGTTCACTAAAATCAAATATTTCTGAACTGAGGTAGTGGCAATAACATTTCAGGAGCTGTAACCATCTGTTATTATTAGCTTTAATTGGAACTTCCAAGTTACTAGTGAAGTTGTTCAACATTGCTAGGCTTCAGGGGTAAGCAATCTTCTACACTCCAGATGTTGTGGACTCCATGTATCATAATACGGGCAAAGTATTATGGGAGATGTAATCCGCAACATCTAGTGTACCAGAGGTTGCTTTCCCCTGTGTTAGGGAACAGACTACAACAGTCTGCCAGTGAAAGAACAAATATACATTATTACAGCTGTGCACTATTGACACATCTGATATTGACACAAATAGGGTTTTGGCAACATTAAAAATAAATTGTTAAAGAATCAATCACCTGTTAATATTACAATTCAAATCATTTATGGAAGTCCATTCAGTCTCTTAGATTTAGGAAATAATAAAGGCCTTTTTATTCCCCGTAGAGGGGGAAAAAAGAGCTCTGCTTGCGATGAATTGTGAAATCATTCACTAGCACACTAGTATTGCTCTCACCTAGTTTTGAGACAGCACTTGTGTCCTAAGATTCTTTCGTATTAAAGAATAGTAAGAACAGGCTCCTTCCCTGTCATGAAAAATAAAATCTTTGATTGTACTGAATGTCTACTAACAGGGCCGCTATCAAGGGGTGACAACCATGACGGTTGTCACAGGCCTTATGTGTAGCAGGGGAACTGCCGCCGGTGCAGTTGCACTAGGGCCCCCTCACTGATGGGGGCCCATCGAGTGGCCCAAGCATTTAGGACAACCCAATGGGCCCTATATCTTCAGGGGCCGGTCAGCGCTGTGGCTGTGTAATAGCGTGACTGGGCCCTTTTTAAAGGCCACAAGTACTGCTGGGAGGAAGTGGCAGCCGGTCACTTCCTTCCAGCTCTCTCCGCTAAACTTCTTCACCAGCAAACAAATCGGTATTACTTTCTTGGGACAAATATAATCTGTAAAAAAACAAACCTATTTCTTCCACACTCTGCAAGATAGAACTGCTATTGTGCAGTATATCTATCCAATCCTTTATCACACCTCCTATGTGGAACAACCCTCAAGTCTTTTAAGGACATACATTTTGTCCATATATAACAATATTTCCAATCTGCTTTAAAAGATTCTTACTTTGACGAAAACTCAATGTATATTACATAACCTGGCATCGCTACTTCTGCCCAGAGACTCCTATATTGAGACCATCATCACCATCATCTGGACAGGATACAAGTGGAATGTAGAACTCTCTGGACAGAAACTTCGATGCCAGGCTTTTTAATGAACATTTCATTTGAGGTTTTTTTTCATGTTTATGGCCCCAGATAGGGTGAGCATTGTTCCACATAGATGTGGCGGATGATTGGATAGGTATATTGCAGATTTTCAAGAGATATGAAATCAAGGGTTGTCTCAATAATAGGTGATCGCAGTGACTACTTGTGAGCTGATGCAGAGATTTACAATTCATTTTAGTAGACATTCTGTGCAATCGAAATCTTTATTTTTCTCGACCGGGAAGGAGACGGTTCTTACTGTTGGTTTCTTAATATGAAATTAATGGTTGTCCCAAACATAATAGGTGAGAGTAATACTAGTGCTGGTAAAGCGGTTCACATTTCTCGTTAAGCTAATATACTGCACAATCGTACAGGGAAGCCTTTATTATTGGTCCCTAAATATGAGACCACAATTTTAATGCTAATATTAACAGGCAATTGTCTAATGAATTTTATTTTTGTTTCCAAAAGCCTATTACGTACGTGTCAGTACAAGAGGTGATAACAGTGTATAGGAAGAATTGTAACATTGTATATTTGCACTTTTGTTGTAACTGTTTGAATTTGAAATATTGTTTTAATGAGAGCTGCAGTTTATAGATTAAGCTGATTTGACATTTTGTATTGTAAATTGAAAAAAATATGCTACACATATTGAAGTAGATATGCTAGGGCAGTGGTAGGCAAGCTTTTGGCTCTCCAGATGTTGTAGACTACATCTTCCGTGATGTTTTGCGAGCTTGATGGCCGAAGGAGCATTATGGAGCATCTGAAGTGGTGAAGGTTGCCTACCCCTGTGCTAGGGGAACATGTTATGTCTTTTTTAAATGAGTAATGAAAATGTGAGGCAAGTTAGATATAGATATATAATTTTTATTTATTTTTAATAGGCATGATTGTCCTCTGAAATAGTTTTCTTTTTCCACAGATGATATCATGCAAACAACTTATTGTGAAATAGATTTGGACAAAGCCAAGAAAGATGCATTTGTATATGCAATCAAAAACCACTACTGGTATCAAATGTACATCGATGATTTACCAATTTGGGGTAAGTTACTGTGTCAGGGTCGTACCTGGAGCATTTGGCACCAATTAAATGCAGGCGCACATTTTTCTGTAGTGTGTTTTTCTGTAGTGTTGACATTTGAATGCAGGGTTGTATTTGTGTGTAGTGTAGGCAAAATGCTGAGATGTATGCACATACAAACACATACTCGCATATACACACACACTGGCACACATACAGATACACAGACACATAGGTACACACATGCAGTTACATAGAAACACAGTCATACACAGATATAAACACACATACAGATACAAACTAATAATAATAATAGACGTGCCGACGCAGGTGCATAGATATCTCTAAATATGTGTTTCTGGATTGCTGTTGGCTTTAAAGATTGGATAATAATATGGATTGCTGCTGGTTATATTTTCTTTTCTTTCTACAAATTAGGGAAGATATAACACTTTTTGGGGCATCAGTCTCAGGGCATTTCTAATTTTCATCCTTTAATAGTCATCCTCTTGTTAAAAATAAATAATAGTATAGTTTCACATAGCAAGGGATTGCCTAACCCTGGAAGGAGTTTGAGATTGTTGATTTCACTTTCCATGAGACAGCATCTTGGTATGCTGCTCCTCTTAACAGATTTATTTATTCACGTGCTTTGCTGTTGGTTTTTAAATAGAAATCCTTTGGGACAAGACTGCCTCCAATTTTGTTTTTCTTTTTTTGCTGTTACTGCCGGTGGAATTCATGTACTCCAATGATTTTTTTTTTTAATTTTTTTTTATATATATATATATATAGTTTGTTAGCATTCATAGTTAAATAAAAAGTTAGAGCTCAAATGTCAACATTTATTTATTCTACATTGGTCTCATAGCACCTTTATTGAGAAAGTTCTAAAAAAAACTAAATTGGGGGAAAAAAGACAAATTGAGTTAAGCAGCATTTAAAACGTTTGATTTAAAAAAAAAAAATATATATATATATATATATTCATGTACAAGGCAATAGCTTAAATTCTTAAACTGTAAAATAAGAGAAGTGGTTCATTCTTAAATTGTAATATTTTGTCAAAATTAGACTCTTCCATCATTGAAGGCTTTTTCCTTGCTCTAGGGCAGGGGCTCCCAACCTAGTCCCAGTCCAGATTTATGGATTACCCTGCTGTGTCTAAAGTGTTTTTTTTTTTTTTTTCCTCAAAAAAACAACTGGGTGATGATCCCTAAATCCTGGACTGTTAGTCTGTACTTGAGGACCGGGTTGGGAACCACTGCTCTAAAGAAAGCAATACTGTTATAAAAAACAACTTGTGAGATGTTTTGTGGATCCTAGTGGAAAGACATGCCTGCTTCCTCTGAACAGAGTGATAATGACATGCCTTCAACCACAATCCAAATGCACATCTAACTGAATAGGTGTAACTGAGCGTCCTCTGAATAGAGTGATATTGCAGACTCTGAAAAAAATGCACTGCTATGTTGTTAATTTTGTGAGATAAATTCTTTGGGCTGCAGGCTGTCACAGATCTGATCCTCCCGCTCATGCAATCTTAAGTCGGCACTGTCACTTTAAAGAATGGGACACTTATCTCGTATAATCACTTCTCATATGTAAGCAACAGTTTGTGCTATGTTTGAATCTGACGATATATATGTAATAAAAATAAATATTTATTCAGGTATTGTTGGAGAGGCTGATGAAAATGGAGAAGATTACTATCTTTGGACATACAAAAAGCTGGAAATAGGTTACAATGGTAACCGCATTGTGGATGTAAATCTAACCAGTGAAGGGAAAGTCAAACTGGTTCCAAACACAAAAGTACAGATGTCATACTCTGTAAGTAGATCATTTTATTTTATGTTTTAAATTATGGTGACAGAAAAATGTTACTCAGACTAAAGTAATTTTTTTGTTTGGTTAGATTAGCTGTAGAACTTAGTTAGTGGAGAATCTGAGCACATAACTAGAGCTTGTTGCAGTGTTTATGGTGCTATATGTCTGTGAGTCCTCCATTCATTGTTAAACTGTTTGTGGACTGACCTGAATGATGCAGGTCTCTCTCCGGTACCAGGAGCAAACCCCTCTTCAGAAATGTACTTTTGCATAACCAAGCATCATTTCATTCAATCTAGATGACAATGATAATATTACTGGGCTGCTTAGCTACAAAATGAAATGCCTAAATTGAAATTTAGCATCAGTAGAACATTTCCTGTAGGCATTGCCTCCATTTTATCCATTATATAATGTGTAAGTCAAAAATGCTGGTCTGATAGCCTCATTTATTTTAACAACAAATATGATCAATATTTCTGGTACAGGATTTCTTTACCATTCCCGAACGTTTTAATGGTGTAAGATGTAGTTCCAGCAGCTCAAAATAGTTTAATTTATAAAAAGACTTGTGTAAAATACTGTGTAAGCCTATAGAATAACAATGCTGTACATATTTGCCAAGTAACTTTAATTCATGAGGGGGTTTCTTCCCATGAATGAAGCTATGTTAGTCCTTTCGTGTGTGACCTACGTACATATTGTTTCACAGTATGCAAGTCACTTAGAACCTGTGTGGCATGCAGTATACTTGCTGCTTATCCCTAGGCTGTCTTGGATACGTAAGCTCACAGCTGCAGCTACATTTAACAGTGAAAGAATATGGGGGCTTCATGGAACACAACATGTGAAATGTTGTTCTGAGGTTTTTCTTAAGTATTTTGCGTAGTGGACACTCCTATTGATCTTTCATGATGAAAATTTGCTTTTTTACATATAACAGAAACCTGTTTTAATTCTTTTTTTCTTAAAGGTTAAATGGAAGAAATCAGATGTCCGATTTGAAGACAGATTTGACAAATACCTTGATCCTTCCTTCTTTCAACACAGAGTATGTAAAATTTAAAGTATATTCTGTGGACAATGTTTGTTACTAAAATACATTTAACATTTCTTTAGAGCGGAAAATCATCAAACCCTTTGTTTTGATATATACAACTTTATCAAGTCTTTATTTTACAACTGTTACTTCACATGAGAATTGGTATTTGCTTCAGTTATTTTTGCAAAGTAATAGATGTTTCAATTCATCTTCAGATGCAAAGCTGGGTTCATGCTGAGTTTATATTCGTCTAATAACAAGAAAAGGAGATCAAGGAGAAATAGTTCTCATCTTCCTAAGCATGTTGTGTTTCAGTGTAAAAATTACGACTTATAGCCTCATGGACAGAGACGTACCTAGGTTACATCGCATACTTAATTTTCATTTCACAGTGAGATCTACACAAGCTTCCCTTTTCTTACCTTTATAGGGACAGCTGTAATGGCAATGGGACTGTTGAGGCGTGAGGTGGTACCCCACCGCTGCCACGCCTCTTTATCCTGCAACTACCTCTGTCTGAGCTCCTTGTCAGATATGCGCTTCAATTTAACATTTTTGGGTAAACTTTTAAAATTTAAATTTTTTTAAATATTAAAATATTTATGTATGTATTCCATAGTTGGTAGTATAGGCTGAAAAAAAGATTTGCGTCCATTTGTAGCTGTTAATCCAAAAGAAGGCAACAAAAAAAAAGTTTCAATCACTTTCCAATTTTGCAGAAAAAAATTCTCGACACCAACATGTTATATCTCTCATTGGAAATGTATTTATTCACTATAAAAACAAATGTTTTGGGGCACTTGACTATTACACCAAGAGGGACGTTTATGACATTGCATTCTGAATACATAGACATTAATATGCAATTGAACCTACCTTTTGTAGCTCTAACAGCTTCCACTCTTGTGGGAAGGGTTTCCATAAGCATTTTAAGTGTTTCTGTGGGAATTTTTGTCCCTACATCCAGTAGAGGATTTGTGAGGACAGGCACTGATATTTGATGAGAAGGACTGGCTTGCAATCTCCATTCCAGTTCATCCCAAAGGTGTTTGATGGGGTTGAGGTCAGGGCTCTGTGTGGGACAATCAAGTTCTTCCACAACAAATGCATCCCACAATGTTTTTATGGACCTTGCATTGTGCACTTTGCACAGTCATTCTGGAATAGAAAAGGGGCTTCCCAAAACTGTTCCCACAAAGCAGAAAGCATAGCATTGTCCAAAATGTCTTGCTATGCTGAAGCTTTAAGATTTCCCTTCACTAGAAGTAAGGGGGTCTAGCCCAACCCCTGAAAAACAGCTGCATGCCATTATACCTCCTCCACCAAATTTTACTGTTGGCACAATGCAGTCAGGCAGGTAACGTGCTTCTGGCATCCGTCAGACTGCCAAACAGAGAAGAATGATTCTTCACTCCACAGAGTCCAATGTTGGCATTCTTTACACACCAATCGATCGGACACTTGGCATTCTACTTGGTGATGTGAGGCTTGCATGCAGCTGCTCGGCCATGGAAACCCATTACACAAAGCTCCCTGCACACTGTTTTTGTGCTGCTCTTAATCCCAGTGTATGTTTTGGTGGAATCATGAGAGTGTTGGCAACTTTACGCACCATGCACCTCAGCACTCTGTGACTTGGTTTTTTGCTTAGCGGCTAAGTTGCTGCTGTTCCAAAGTGCTCCACTTCCTAATAATACCACTTACAGTTGACCGTGCAATATCTAGATTTATTGCAAAGGTGTCATCCTGTCACAGTACCCTGGAATTCACTGAGCTCTTCAGTGCAATCCATTTTTATCAGAACTGTAAATGCAGACTGCATGGCTAGGTGCTTGATATTATAAATTTTTGGCAATGGGTCTGCTTGAAGCATCTGAATTCACTAATTGGTGTCCCAATACTTTTGTCCATAAAGTGTAGGTAGACGGAGAGAGATATCGCAAAAAAGTATATATGATTTTTTCAAAATATTAAATCCTACTAAAAGCGTAGCTTACTAAAGCTAAAAATCTGTCCTTTTGAACTTGGCAGAAAGCTGGACTGTTCGACATTAAATTCATCCATCTAATGGTATCTTTTATTTTTTGTATATAAAATAAAACTAATTCAATTTATAACTTCAATGTTATACGTTATTTTTCCCCCCTCCTATTTATATGTAATAGTGATTTTTATTTTTTTATTTATTATTTTTCTTGCTCCCCTCTTTCTCAGATACATTGGTTTTCTATCTTCAATTCTTTTATGATGGTTATTTTCCTGGTGGGCTTGGTTTCCATGATTCTCATGAGGACTTTAAGGAAAGATTATGCTCGGTACAGTAAGGAAGAAGAGATGGATGACATGGTAAGTGGGTTGTGTGAAATCCACATCTATACTTTCTGATATTAGATGTGCTGTATTTTTGGATAATCCTTCATCATTCAAATTTGTTTAAATTAAATTGACACTTCTTCACTCAGTCAAATAGGCCTTTCTGCAGAAGAAGGGTTATGTTCATGTGCTATACAATCTTGTCACTAAACCTTCTTTGGTCATAATATTCCGGCTCAATAATCCAATATTGCCATATTGGACAATACTGTATGCTATAAATCATTACATACAGGCAGAAAAAAAAATGCAAAGTCCATGAGATTGACGTATTAAAATATCTGTGCAGTAGTCTTGTAAAATTAAAGATTATACTAGCGTAGTGTACTAATCATCTTAATTTTAATAATGACAGGAGGCGAATATTTTGCATTAACTTTCTTTACTAACTCCATAGCAGCAAAGAAAAAATAGGTGAATATGTAAAGAACCCATTCAGAGTGTGTGTATATAAGGGAAAGCATATCCAAAGCACTTCCTCTTGAAAAATGCGACATCACAAATCCATAACAAAATGGGTAACTGTACGAAAATCCAACTTTAGCCTTGAAAACGATAAGGGAAACAAATTCCTCCCATAGACCATGACAACAGGTTAAACTGAAAGAAAAGAGACTAGTTTCAGTGATACGGAACTGACCGTATGAATATATAACAGTGAGCTTATGTTGTCAGATGTTAATATAACTAGATATAGTTTAAACATGCGAGAATGAAATTTCCACTATAATTAATCTAATACACGCAATATATACATATATAGTGCTACAGACCCCAAGTGTCCTGTGACCCTATAACTTACCAGGATTGGGAAGAACAACAAAAGGGTGGGGAAATATTCGCCTCCTGTCATTATTAAAATTAAGATTATTAGTAAACTATGCTAGTATAATCTTCAATTTTACCATGACAGGAGACTTCATATTTTGCCATTTTAACGCTTAGTAAGAAGAAAAAATGCAGTGTTAGAGGACAGACGGAAATACAATGTCCGAAACGTGGATTCGCGTGACCAGTCTGCCATCTGTAATATTCCTGAAAGATGCGCCCGCCAGAAAAGCAGACGATGCTACCGCCCCTCGAATGGAGTGTGCACCGAAGGACGGGTCTATCCCGGCCAATGTAAGGAGACATTTAATTCAGCTGTACGGAGTGGTAACCAAAACCGGACCATGAGGACTGACTTATGAAACCAACAGTTGCTTGCAACGTCGCCTTCACATATGCCCATAATGCCATTACCAAGGAAAGTTGAGGGTACCGAAACAAAGAGCGGGTAGAAGACCGACGACGGTTCCTTTTTTGTTGTGAAATACAGAACATGACTCCCTCCGGAGTCACCGAAAAAGCGTCCACGTCAAAAGCACGTACATCCGAGACTCTTCATTTTTTGCCGACCAGCCCTGGAGAAAACACCTAGTAGGGTTGCCTCTAAAGACTCTGCGCATGTAGGTGTGAGTTTATTTATTATTATTTTTTTGAGAGCAAGAGAGAGAACACATTTATGTGCTTGTTTAATTCCTTCATGAAGGTCTCTCCAAAAAGTTTTCCCTGTGCCTGTGGGCCTAGTTCTTTCACCCCAAGATCTGCCAATTTGGGATCAATGTGGAAGAGTGCTGCACAGTGCCTCTCAGTCGAGAGGGCTGCATTGGAATTTACCATAAAACAAAACCCGCTTTGGGTCCATTCTCTGTTGTGCACCCATTCACGCACCATTTCCGCAGAGAAAGAGTCTGCCCAGGCGTATGCGTCGTCCGCTAGGTACCTAACATGGGCCAGTGGCCCCCATTGCATCCAGGAGCTTATCTCGTGCTCCCCTGAAGCCCCTTTCGACCCCCTTTGCGAGGCTCAAGACCACCTCGTGCTACAAATGCCAGCATGAGCTGGTCAAATTCAGACGTAAAAGCCACTTTATCAGGTAGCAACGGCCTGGGGTATTCGGCTTGCATATGCTTACGGACATCTTTGTCCAGGGGCTTCTGTATCCAAAAATGCATGAACTTGAGATGTTCTGGAGGAGTCCACTCCCCGGAGCGGGGATGCCTGACGTTCCTGGGGTCAAACCTCCTCTGACCCAAAAAACCTCTTGTTCCTGTGCAGAGGACGCCTCTGTCGTCCCTGCACCCTCCTTACTCTGGGGCTCACCCAGAAAGATCTCCCTGACGTAGGCGTTGGAGCCCCATTAACCTTCGTCGGTGTCTGAGACCTCTGCCTGCCACTTGTTCACATTGGAGATGATGTGAGGTACATCTCTTTCCTCGTCCGAGGAATCATCCTGAATTGGAGGGGCGGCAATAGGTGTTGGACGCCTTACCCTTTCCAGGGCAGCTCCTTGAGCCCTCGCCTTTCCAATGGAGTTTCGCCAGGCGTGCCCTCTCTAGAGGAATCATCAGAGTCTTCCCTGCCTTGAGAGCGTTATGGAGCCGGCTTGATGGGATCAGAGGCCGTTGAGAACACTTTGGCCATTGCCTTTTCTAGGGATACGTGCACTGCCGCGTTAATCATGGTGTTCTGGGTATCTTCCATGATAGGCCTATATGTATACGCCAACAACCAGGCACAGGTAGGAGGGGTAGAGGGGCTGATAGGGAGGGGCCTGAAACAGGCTGTGGGCCTTAAACTTATACACAGCTTAACAGCATGCGGCAGATTAAGCAGACTCTATTACAATCATTGGGGCTCACCCAGGAAACCGGAATTGCTCAGCAGCACTGTGGGTCGTACCCAAATGGGTACTCACACCATGCTCGAATACTCAGTTATTCCTGACTGACAGTCCCACTCTCCAGGGGTATAACACCAACCTGACCAGGTCCCTGACGGTATAAACAGTACAGCCGAACAGAAAAATGAAATCACAGAAAACCTCTTCATGATGGGAGTAAAATATACGACTAACATCACCAACAAGATGGTTGCCGTGGGGATAAAATGATGCTCAAAAGCCCGCGAAACGCGTACGGGTGAAACCGTACAATTCTTTTAGGTGAATGCTATTAGACGCGAATGGTCCATTCGCTTAAAAGCTACCGAATGCTGAAAATTGCCTGTATGCGACCGGAAAGACGCGAACGGCTAGTGCATTCACAAACCACCGAACACCTATTCATTGAAATAGGTGCAAACAGGAAAAAAGCAGCGAACTACCCATTCGTTCCCACATGCACGAAGCAACAGTAATACCTGCCTGAACGCACCGAGATCAATGCGAACAGCGCAGGGGAAAGTGCCGAATGTAGCCACATGGGTTGGGGGGGGATAGGCCACCTCAGTGAGGAGGGGAAAAGAGGGCCTGGGGAGAGAGGGGACAGAATACCAATAAGAAAAGAAATATACAGTCCCACGAGAGAAGTGGAGATAGAGTCCCCCGTCTCCCCCGGAAAGGAAATACAGTAGTCACATACAATAGGTTCAGATTAAAGGAGCAGCAGAGAAAGAGGAAGTGCTTTGGATATGCTTTCCCTTATATACACTCTGAATGTGTTCTGATTGGTTCTTTATTCTAACTGTTTTTTTTCTTTGCTGCTATGGAGTTAGTAAAGAAAGTTAATGCAAAATATGAAGCCTCTTGTAATGTGGTAAAATTAGATACATTGCTCTAATAAACCAATAGTCTTGCATTTTCCCACATATAGAAATGTGAGCAAGAATTTTACCGCTTTTCTCCAAACAACCCTTTTAATGTATCACTTCTATCTCCCAGCTCTCACTGTAAATATTACTAATTGGCACAATCCAGGTTCATTTTTGGATTTTGACAAAATTTCGACGATATTCATTCAGCAGAACAGATGTGACCAGTATAGTGGCTTGTTGCTCACCTTGGTTACAAGGATTAGACTATTCTATGTTGCCGATTAGTAGGACTTGGTGTCCCTTTAAGAATATTATTTAATCTGTACATTGTGCAAACCAAATTGTAGAACATGTTTAGACAAAATCTTGGTTTACTATAGATTACATTGAGTTTTTAAATTTGTCCAACATCTCCTAGCCTGCTTATTTCTGGTAGCTATATTGAGTGTATATCTTTTAATTTATACATTTGTTTTCAATTTCACTGTTACTGCTCACGAATTGTGGCTGACAGGCTCATGTTACATTTTTTTTTTTCTCTACCCTGTTCCTCTCCATACATTTTAGGCTGCTAGTAAGATGGACCAAAGGTCCATTTCAAACCAGGAAGCCCTCTAGTGGTTGTCTGGTAGACAGTCACTGGAGGCAGACTTACGAGTTGCAATGTTTAACATTGCAACATTAAGAGTAATAGGGACACTGTATCCAGACCACTTTAATGAGCTGAAGTGATCTGGGTGCCTACAGTGTCTCTTTAAAGGGACAATATAAGCACCTAAACATCTACATCTTGAAGGGTACCTGTCACTATTCCTACAAATTATGTTGTTTTTGTTTTTTTTAAATAAAATTTTATCTAAACATCGTGCTACCAACCAATATTTCTCCTTAGTGGCTCAGTTTGTATGGACTGTATCCCAAAGTATTAACTGACAAGGGGGCATAGAAGAGACCTCCCACAGGCGGTCCTTCTGCTCTCCACGCATGGCGACCACAGCGAAAGCTCTGTGATTTCTATGGTAACTCCCAAGTTGGTGCTGCTGTTGCTGACTGAGTGTAGAAGCACAAGCTGATGTTTCTTTATTCAGATGATGGTAATGAAGCCAGCATGTTGCCGTCAGAGGAGTTTTGCCCTGCTTAAGGATGTGTTGCCAAACAGGGCAAAAAAAAAAAGACTGCTGAAGGAGGACCAAAGGGGTAAGTGTTGCAGAATAGTGACACCAACCTCAGTGAGACAATGTACTTTTATTTTAAAGCAACAAATTCCAACATCCACCACTCTGCGCAAAATTAAATGTGAAATGAAGATGCTCAATTTTGTAATAAAATGCAATTTTTTTTTCTCTCTGTTTGAGAAGGTTTCTATATTTACAAAGTACACTTCAAAGAGTAGAAAGATGTTTTTTTTTTTTTTTTTGTGTTTTTGTTTTTTTTCTCAAAATGCCTGCCATGTTTATTCAGTAAACACAGAATTGTGCAAAATTGCAACTTGAATTTCACAATTTAGGTTTAATTATGTGATTGGAGACAAGTTGGAGAGTTATTTTTTTTTTTTTTTTTATGTGGTGTAATTCAGACTTCATTTCAGTAGTTTAGAGAATAACCATGTTGGTTTCAACCTTGTGAAATATTTGTGACCTCTACTTCAGGGAATGCTCTAATTCACTGACAACTGTATATTATAGTTTCATATGCTAATGAACATGTACTTTTGCATATTGTCCTTGTGGGCTGTTAAATCACTGTGTTTTTGTTTTTCTATTGTAGGACAGAGATCTAGGTGACGAGTATGGTTGGAAGCAGGTTCATGGAGATGTGTTTAGACCATCAAGTCATCCTCTTATCTTCTCATCATTGATTGGTTCAGGATGCCAGATCTTTGCAGTATCCCTTATTGTAATTATTGTTGCCATGATAGAGGACTTATACACAGAGTGAGTATTTGTTGTTTTGACTGGTTGTGGTTAAATTATCATGGCAACGGAAACAAAACCTTGCTTATGTTCCGCACATTTACATAGGTTGCCAAACATCAGTAGTCGCTACTTTTTCTTGCATATTGTCAGATAATTAAGGCGAATTGCATAAAATTACAAACAAGGAGAAATAGAGGGGCATGAAGGAATTAAGTTTAGATTTTGTGGTTAACAACCTTTTATGTGAAAGTCCCAGGGATTTATTCACTAAATGAGTGTTTTTAATTTCATTTCAGATTGCAGGCTTAAAGGGACACTATAGTCACCTGAACAACTTTAGCTTAATGAAGCAGTTTTGGTGTATAGAACATGCCCCTGCAGCCTCACTGCTCAATCCTCTGCCATTTTGGAGTTAAATCCCTTTGTTTATGAACCCTAGTCACACCTCCCTGCATGTGACTTGCACAGCCTTCCATAAACACTTCCTGTAAAGAGAGCCCTATTTAGGCTTTCTTTATTGCAAGTTCTGTTTGTTTAAGATTTTCTTATCCCCTGCTATGTGAATAGCTTGCTAGACCCTGCAAGAGCCTCCTGTATGTGATTAAAGTTCAATTTAGAGATTGAGATTGAGATTGAGGTAAATTACATCTGTTTGAAAGTGAAACCAGTTTTTTTTTCATGCAGGCGCTGTCAATCATTGCCAGGGGAGGTGTGGCTAGGGCTGCATAAACAGAAACAAAGTAATTTAACTCCTAAATGACAGTGAATTGAGCAGTGAAATTGCAGGGGAATGATCTATGCACTAAAACTGCTTTATTTAGCTAAAGTAATTTAGGTAACTATAGTGTTCCTTTAATGAACACTTGGGTCACCATAAAAACTTTATATAAATGAAGTTGTTATGGTGCCAGGAGGCCACCGGGCACGCTTACCTTAAGGGGTTATGGCAAGAGAGCACCCGGGGTGCTTTAGATTATTATGGTGTAGAGTATTCCTTTAAAATAGCTAAGCTGAAGTCTTTTTGCCTATGATGACCACAATTTTTCAATTCTTAAAGCCCTATACATTTGAATTTAATAGGCTTAACTAAGCAGACCACGAAAGCACAAAATCACTTCCCCTTTTGTGAGGTGAAATCTAACATGGATTTTAATATTTTTAATTTTATATACATGATTTAGATATAGGTGGACTTGTCACTGTGCTGCATGTATTATTTTTGAAAAAAAAATTTGCATTTGATTATACTATGTGCTTTGTGTTTTATTCATACGTTAAAAGGTCAGTCTGAGCACTGTTGCAAAGTTCATGATGCTTCTTATCTTGAGCCCACTTATGAAACATGAGACAATGCCCTTTTAGAAATGTCTACATATGATGCACACAGGGCACAGATTCAGTTGTATTGCTGGATGTTCTCACTTGGCAAGATATGCTTTGGTTAATTTTTTTGTTCTTTCTTAGCTTGGCCTTGAATTGCGTTGACATTGTACCTATAGTCATACACTTTTTCACCATCCTTGATCCATCTAAATGTAATTCCTTAATCCAAACTTAAAAAAAAAAAAATGTGTTCTTTGTTTTCAAAGGCGAGGATCTATGCTCAGTACAGCTATATTTGTTTATGCTGCAACATCTCCTGTAAATGGATATTTTGGAGGAAGCCTTTATGCCAGACAAGGAGGTAATTTCTCTTGGGATGTTTGATCTATATCTGTTAAATATATCTATCTATCTACCTATGTCTATATCTGTCTAGCTCTCTCTCTAGCTGTCTAGCTCTCTCTCGCTAGCTGTCTAGCTCTCTCTCGCTAGCTGTCTAGCTCTCTCTCGCTAGCTGTCTAGCTCTCTCTCGCTAGCTGTCTAGCTCTCTCTCGCTAGCTGTCTAGCTCTCTCTCGCTAGCTGTCTAGCTCTCTCTCTCTAGCTGTCTAGCTCTCTCTCGCTAGCTGTCTAGCTCTCTCTCGCTAGCTGTCTAGCTCTCTCTCGCTAGCTGTCTAGCTCTCTCTCGCTAGCTGTCTAGCTCTCTCTCGCTAGCTGTCTAGCTCTCTCTCGCTAGCTGTCTAGCTCTCTCTCGCTAGCTGTCTAGCTCTCTCTCGCTAGCTGTCTAGCTATAGCTATATCTATCTCTATATCTCTATATCTCCCTATATGAGAAAAGTTCAGTAAGGACTGAAATGTCAACCTATATTTGTACATACTGCTCAAAGTAAGAAAAGGTCCTGTAAGTGCACTGTATATTTACCTGTTTTCTAACCAATAAACTCCTCTAGAAGTCTTGCCAGTTTTGATGAATGAGTTGCATAGTGCTACAGTATTTTTGCTGCCTCAAATGTTCCAACACTTTTAGGGTGGATTTCTGAATTAAAGTAATGGTGAACTGAGTGTTGCACAGATATTTCAAACTTTAGATTACCCTAGTTTTTACAAGGGTGCTCTTACCACCATAACCACTAGAGTTCGTTGTAGTGGGCATGGTGCAGAGACTCTTTGGAGGCCATTTCTCCGGTTTATGCAAACCATTTTTAATCTCAGTGCAGCAAATGTCTGCTGTCAAGATAAGGTTGACAAATAAAATAACATTTTAGTTTGCATGTGGAATGCACAGGGTATAAGAATTCAAGTAGACAGCCAACACTACAGAGATGGATACTGTTAAAATACTTGTATCTCAAGTTTTTAGAAACTCTGAGGCCTAAAATCTTTTTGCTGACTCTTAAACCTTTTGTATAAAACAAATTTACCTTCTCTCTTGGTTTCATGCCTCGAACAACCATTTGTCTCATACAGTCTACTAAAGTTTGTTTTTTCCCAGCATTTATGTGCATAAAGGGTGGCTATTCTCATTTCCTAGTATCTGTGATATTATCATAATCGATATTTATATAGTGCTAACATATTCCACAGCACTTTACATTTATAGAATGGTGATACCTGACCAACAGTAGTTGACATAATATTAACATATTAAGACAAGATGTGATAATTAAAAGAGCTGTATGGTTATGATGCTAGGATGGGTGTCTTTATGTATGCATATTTATACATATTCAAATGGGCGTTTTAAAATTTATTTTTTAGGACGTCGGTGGATAAAACAAATGTTCATTGGAGCTTTTCTAATCCCAGCCATGGTTTGTGGGACTGCATTTTTCATCAACTTTATTGCTATGTATTATCATGCATCAAGAGCCATCCCATTTGGAACAATGGTAAGTTTTGATGATTCTATAATATGTGTCTGGTGAAGGGAAAAACAAGACTGACATTTAACAGTGAACTGTGCATTTACGGGCATCCAGATGGAAGCACGTGTTAGCATCAAGTTATTCATCGGAAATTTTTTATCCAGTTACCGCTTGGGTTGTGGTGGATGTAGGTAATTCCAAAACCTGAAATTCACTAAGATGACATCATATTCCCGATTTGCAAACAAACACAAAAATAAATTGAAGATTAGGTTATGTCTGTTTTACAAACTTTGAAAACCATGGTCTGCCAGTTATTACAAGTCACAGAAAGAAATTTAGAATTTCACCTTCCTACTAAAAAGCTTGAATGGCTGCATGCTCTAGATGTCCACAACTATACTAACAGCCTGGACATTCACTATAGTCACTCTGGTTGTATTGCATGGGGTTGTTCAAACCAAAAAAACATTTATGCCCAAATATTTCATTCTAAGTGTATGTGTGCGGGGGATTGCCTATTTAAAGTGTCCCTAGATGCCGTGTCTAGCTGTTCTGCCTACAGCTGTGGGCAGACCCTGCTCCCCCCCACACCATGATGAGTCATTTAAATTATTCCATAATTCCCTTTCAAGCAGAGGATTATGCGTGATGTTCATCCCAAAAAAACATTTATGATTTGAACTTCTGTTTACAGATATACGGAAGGCACCCAAACTTCCCAGTGAAGTGGTGTGGGTGTAGTTGCTCTTTAGTTTTAACCCTGCAGTCTGAAATATTGCCCTTTAGTAGATACATCAAATTGCATTGTTAATTACACATCTAGTGGCTGTCTTCCTGCAAATACTGGGCCAGTACCTCAGTAGTTAGGACCACCAGCGTTGGGAATACATGTTTGTATTCCTAAAACTAGTGTTCCTTGAAACGGGTAGTTATACAATGGCTGTTATCAGTTTATACTTATCCTAATTCACTGTTTAGTGGAATAAGTTGTGTATTAGCAGTGATTGAGCCACAGCAAGACTATATTGCTGGGAGATAAGAGACTTTCCTACTATGAATATGGTATGGGTATGCACAAATAGTTCTGGGACACTTATATCAAATCTGTCGCAAAGTGATCCCAGCTGCTTGATTGACAGCCCTAGTGGGCTTTAACAGCATTGATTTTTTTTTAAAGATAGCTGTCACTGTAGCCCACTCTCCTAAATGATTGTGGTCCCAAGATGCTCTAAGCACTTTGCAATAATGCAAAGTGCATGGTGCTTAGACTGACCTATTAAATGTATGCCCTCAAGGTGGCGCTATAAGGTCACTTTAGAAACGTGCCATGCTGCATATTTTGCTTCACTTCTTTAAGAAGAGATTTGTGTGTGTTTTTTTTGTATGGTTTTCTTATTTTTTCTGTCTATTTACATATTGCATTATATATCCAAACAATGATGTATACATAATGGGTTTTAAAGCCTTTCGCTTTTTATGTGATTTATGTATGCACATGATGTATGTAATGCATGTTTCTTTGTTTGTCTCTATCGTTTAACTTTCATCTAGATTTTTAATATCCATTCGAAAGTATGCTCAATATAAAAGAAATTCTGCCATTGCGCTAATATAAGAACCTTTTAAGCAACTATTTAAGAATTTGGACTGAGGAAGAGATGTCTTTTAATGTTCATGGGATTTCTAGCTCAGGAGTTCTGATACGGTGGGGGGAGCGTGTTTCAGTTTGTCAAGCTGTTTAATTCTTGAAATTATTTAGCAAGTTTGATACTGGGTGAAGCTTTGCTGTTCCAAGCCAGGAGGGATCTCCAGTTCCTGTCGGAAAAGCTTATAATGCTGATCTTTGACATGTACTGAACGTGCATTTTCCCAATTTTACATTCCTTGGTAGTAATCTTATTTATGGCTCAGGAATGCTGACAGAATGGCATTCCACATGCATTGAATGCCTTTTTATTTGGTCCTATGGCTGTATTTATTCTTTTTTTCTTTAAGTACACAACTTTGTCTCATCTGGGCACCCATACTTCATTTTGGAGGTTTACGGGGGTCACACAAGGATTTTTCTTTTCTAAGAAAAGCATAATTTAAGCTATGCAAACTACATGCCTGGAAAGAGTCCAAGGCAATTGTGAGCTGGTGCTTGGCTTACAAATTAAACCTGCTGTAACTTGCTGGGTTCAGTTTGTATTCCAAGAGTAAAGTTTGAACTGCAACATCAAGTATGTTGTGGGAGAAAAGCTGTTTTCCAATATTTTATTTTTTAATTTCTTCTATTAGACATACCTTTGGAAAGCTATATGTTAAAAGGTAAAGATTTGTAAAATGTAAATTGTGTGACTTTTTTTACTGTACTACTTAAACTTCTTAAACATTTACAGCGGGTGGGGGGATGGTGTTGCGAGAAAGCCTTCAAGGCGACATGCAAAAACAATGTTTGCATCTGCTTAATTACTGCTCGTATATTTTTGACATGTTGTTGCAGGGATACTGTAAAGGTTGTTTATTTTACACAGTCCACTTTTTATTTAACGGTGAAATTGTGATAGTTACTTGGCCCTCATATGTGCACTATTAGATAGTTCTGGTTTCAGTGGCAAATTTGAATGTCTCAAAGTCTTCAGTATGCCAAATTTACCTTTACCACATGTAAGCTAGGTTATCTTGAAAAAGTTGTGCGATTAAAATATTCGCATTTATCTTCATACTTGTCTTGTTCAATTAAAACAAATAAGTCTTATTGGTATTAGAGTGGTACTCTCCCCCTTGTCCCCCCTCCCCCTTGTCCCCCCTCCCCCTTCTCTGTAAATTAAGTATTACATAAAGATAAAGCTCAGTATGTTTCCTGGGTGGAGCTTCTGCCGTCAAGAAGTGTCAATCCACCACCCAGTGACAGCTGCAGGGAATTGGCTCCATCTATGGAGAAACTCACGGGTTCCTCCATAGACCTTAAGTGTGTGCGTTGTTGTTCGTCCTTCTCCATCTGGAGTGTTTTCAAGTTATGCAAAGCCCCTAAATAGTGACAGTTCCACTTTAATAAAGTATTCTAAGTGGTAGATTTTATATACCGTAATATATCTTGGAAATCTTCACGTAATAATAATAATGTCTGTTTCCTAGGTTGCTGTGTGCTGTATTTGTCTGTTTGTGATACTTCCATTGAACCTGGTGGGCACAATTCTTGGCCGGAATTTGGCAGGGCAACCCAACTTTCCTTGTCGTGTCAATGCAGTTCCTCGTCCTATCCCAGAGAAAAAATGGTACGTTAAATCCTTTTTTTTTTTTTTTTCTTTTTTTTTTTATTCTAAAATGAATATCTATGAAATCTTTTTATTTACTTGATGTTTCCCTGCTATTTTATCAAAATGTTAACTGATGGAAAAGTGACCTTTTCATTATTGCCATACCCCAAAAAGTAAATAAAAAGCATTTATGGAGGGGGGGTGTTCATTGTCAATGTCATTAAACAGTGATAGTTTGGGTGTGCACATGCTTCTATAGTGGCATCGTGGGAGTAAAATGAATTTGCACAGTGTGCTCTGCGATCAGCCAGAATTCGTTTAAAAGGGGGGGGACGGACGGACAAGAAACAATCCATTTCTAACTTTTAGCTAGCTGCCAGATTATGCCAAAAATACAATATTACTGTATTGTTTAGCATCTAAGTAGGACAACGTGGAGGGAGTGGTCATAGCACAGTATCACAGCCAAGGTTTGTGCTGGTTTTCAAGGCAGTTGTGGTTTAAATACTACTAAGAGGCTGTCCTGAACCACATTGCTTATACTTTTGTTCAGCTTTGAACACTTTTTCAAGAGAGATTTCGACTGCAGAATTACATGTATATGTTTTCCCTTTAAACACAATTACATTTCATCTTTTGGTTGTTGCAGGTTTATGGAGCCAGCTGTTATCGTTTGCTTGGGTGGAATTTTACCTTTCGGATCCATTTTTATTGAAATGTATGTGTTTTTTTTTGCTTTTTCATTATCCTTCCACATTTTAAATAGCATTGAATAAAAGCATAAGTATGAACATTTATGAGACCTTGTTAAAATATATGGTTCTGTGAACACACTGTCATGGTACATAAGCTCTAAGAAGCACTTTGGTGGCAGACTACATGAATTATACTGTATTTTATCTTCACATGCATGCAGTATCTTATTTTGAGTTGGGCTATCTATTCTTTAAAGAAGTTATCATTTAAATTAAGCTTGTTGCTTTTTAATTTATGTAGGTTTTTATAATTGAGGGTTTTTTAGTTTTTTTTTTTTTTGGTAGGATTTCTCTGACATCACCTTAGTTTCTTTCCTATAGGGGGTGATAGTCCATATTGCACTAGGCTTTGCACTTTTCTTTTGTTGTCACTGTCTGTATTCTGGAAGCTGCTTACCACCTATACACACAACCTCATTGCACACATGCACTATTTTAGTACATAAAAAGGGAGTTATAAGTCTGTTTGCCTGGATAGTTTGGACATTTTAAATTTCCTGCTGTGGGGCAGCATTCTACTTTATACAACACTTTATTTATATATTCTATTCACAGGTATTTCATTTTCACTTCATTCTGGGCATACAAGATCTACTATGTCTATGGCTTCATGATGCTGGTGCTAGTTATCCTCTGCATTGTGACTGTTTGTGTAACCATCGTATGTACATACTTCCTACTAAATGCTGAGGATTATAGGTGGTAAGTATTATTGTGATGTTTTCATTTCACTGCAAGAGATTTGTTTATCATAAGCCACAACAGATGCCCATATTAATGTGTTCAAAATCTTTTCCTTATTTTTTTAGTTTTTGTAAATAATAGAATGATGTCTAGATTCTAAAGTGTAATTAAAGTTTTAGATTGCATAGTTATTGCCACTGTCACTTTGAAAACTGCCTTTGCTTGGTGTGTTTTTCTTTGTTTTACACCCAACTTTTGGCATAGAGAGGGTGTTTGGCATCTTTGGGAAAGTCACTCAAATACACCCTCTTTTCTGCACTGTGGAAAGCTACGTGCTTATCAGTTTAACTATTGAAATATTAGGTTTTCTTATTGGTGGTGTTTGCATGTTTTTTACACTGTCAGAACATTGTGGCTTTATCCTCTATATCTGTTTAAACATGTTTAGTAAAATCTATGATTTGTTGGAGGTTGTGTTATTGGCTTGTGCAAATGATTCACAGAACCTCTTCAAGTTGAGTTTTTATTTGTGTTTTTTTTTTGCTGTTCCTTAGAATTTCTAAACAAATTGCATCTTTTTTTTCCAGGCAATGGACAAGCTTCCTTTCTGCTGCTTCAACTGCAATCTATGTTTACATGTATTCATTTTACTACTACTTTTTCAAAACTAAGTAAGTACGAGTCCTTTGCATATATACATGTTGCTGCTAAATAGTATCCCTTCTTTACTGATGTGTTGCGACAAACTGCAAAAAAAGTATACAGTAATGAATGCCGATAGTTGTGGTTTTTTCTATAGTAGGTTTAACTCTATAAATTAAAGGGTTACAGCGCGCTGTAGGTTTTATGATGCCAGGAGTACCCTTGCCTGGTTCCCTGGCCTATCTTTTTAGCAAGCACTAACTTAGTCCCCACTGGTCTTGAAGGCTTTATGGTGGTCCAGTTATGCATGCTGGTTTCTGCAGAGTCATGGATGCTGCAGATGTCGCCATTCATTGGTTGAGAGTGTCAGCTGACCGCTCTCAATCGATGGCTGATGTGCAATGAAAGTTACATATTATTGACATTCACCATTCTGGAACTCTAGTTCTGAGCTGGCTAATGACACTGCTGAAGGTAGAGTTAGCAGAGGGATTAAACTCCTTATGTGCTGTGTTCCATAGCGAAACACTGCACATACAGACTCCAGGCACCGTGACTACTTCAAATCATTGAAGTGGCCTTGGTATTTGAAGTAACACTTTAATATTTTATCCACAATAAAGGCTAACTTATTTGTTAAATCTGAACACAGATTGTGGAACCAATTGCCCAACTCTTTTAATGCAAGCATTGGAAAAGCATTAATAAGTGTATTGTTTCATTTTTACGTAGGGTTTTTAATACTAGTGGTTGATTATTTTGGCAGAGATTGGTCCATAAATAGTAATTGTAGCTTAAACCGTAACAGAATTTATTCTGAAGAGGTTTTACCATCTGTGTATCGGGCACGTCACAAGAAAAGTACTATAGTATGAGTGACTAACCGTTGCGAATTGCAAGGTGTTAATGAATGTTCATGAGTTTAAAATGGCAAATTACTAGCAAAATATTGATAATATTATAGTGTAATCAATCAGGCACAATTTATAGTTGGGGGAACAAAATCAAGGGTTTATGCAGTATGGATTCAGTGCTGTAATGGCACTACTGAAATAACTTGGTTTGTCACTTTATTAAAAAATGTTACAACATCTACTCTCTAGTTCTGCAAAATCTTTATTTTACTGCAATTAGTTTTTTGTTAATGCAATTCATATTACTATATCACAGTATTAAAATATATTCCAATGTGCCTTCTAAATGGTATTCATGTGAAGTGTTTAATTGATAATGTAAGAAATCGTAATAGTAGACATATTTTTTTTCTTATTTAGATTGATTTTGTAGTGCATATGTTAATTTCCTAATACTTGACTTTACTGTTTGAAGTAAATCACACAATTACGCTTGGTGTCTCAGTATTTTGCATTAATATTAATTACATTTTCTTTTCCCTTTATATCAGGATGTATGGATTGTTTCAAACATCGTTTTACTTTGGATATATGGCAGTATTTAGTACAGCCTTGGGAATTATGTGTGGTAAGTTTTGGTTTGTTTGCTTAATTGATTAATGCAAACAAATTAATAATTTTGCATTAAAGTTAAGTTTAAGATATTAAAATATAACTTTTTGGTGAATAGCTTTTTTTAATTTTTTGGTTATATAAACACTTAGTGGACATTTTATGCACACCTGCTCATTGCCAAAACAAATCATGTGACAGCACCTCCTGATATTCAGTAAGTAAAGAGGTTTTGTTGTTGCTCTGCAAGACATTAGAGGAATATGTGTGATATGAAAGACTTTGACGAGGAATGATTGTTGGGGCCAGACTCTGTGATTCCAGCAGCTCATAAACTGATGCCCCTGGGGGATTTTCATGTACTCTTGTGTCAAGAGTTTACAGAGAATGGTGTGATAACTAAAAACATCCAGTGAGCTCTGTTGGTGGGAGAAGCAAAAAAACCTTGGTAATGATAATGATAGGCCAAAGGAAATTGAACAGACTCATTTAGGGTTATAAATAATAGGTGTCCTGGTCTAAAGTACTAAAAGTGGGGCAGGCACCATTGAGATCAGTGTAACCAGTAAGCACATTCGTTTGGAGACTGCCCATTTTTTTTATATATATATATATATATTTTATGGCAAATGAGCAGACTATGCAGTTGTCGGGACAGGGACACTCTTAGGAATACAGATTTGTATTTCTAACGCTATAGTCTTTCTTTAACCTTAAATACGCATAGACAGATAAATATATGCAAATACGTTTGTGTTTAAAAATTATATTAAACTATTCTAATGTGTTAAATTGTTTCATCTGTTTTGCTTGTAATTTTTTTTGCTGTCCTTTTCTCCAAGTACTTGTTTTCCTAAACTTAACAGTAACTTACCGTTCAATGGTGTGCATAATTGCCTGATCTCAGTATATATATAGCAGATTTGGCGTAATCTATGGGACTGCAGTTATGCTCTTGAGTCATCGTGGACTAGAATCCTTAAAGAAATGTTGCGAGCACTTTGTAAAATATACAATGCAAATAATGAACTCCATTTTGGAGGCCAAATTTGTTTCTATCAGTAATAGACGTCAGGTGTGCCTAATATTGTGCCCACTGAAAGTACATTTCTTAACACCATTATTACAAAATACTTTTTCACATAAAAGGTAGTTGTGTACAATGGTGGCTTCCCTGTTTATTCATTATTTCTCGCCTTCAAGTTGTTGTTTTTTGTTTTTTTTCCCCTATCATAGGAGCAATTGGTTACATGGGAACAAGTGCCTTTGTCCGGAAAATTTACACTAATGTGAAAATTGACTGAGGAATCCATCAGGAATGGGAGCTGTGGACCAGTTACTACATTTTTTCTGGGGTGGGGGGTTTCAAACATGCACATGAGTGCCAGAAGAGATTGGGTTTTAACACTGAGTACTGTGTTGGTCTCCGTTTATGTGGATGGCTTAAAACGGCATCTATTTCATTGATCCTAGGTTCTTACTGACTGCTTTCTCCAACTGTTCACAGCAAATGCTCGGATAATATGCAGTAAGCATTACTACAGTACATGGCTAATCTTCCCAAAAACTAGCTCATTAAAGATGAATAGACTAGCTCTCTTCAGTGAAGAGGACAAACAGTTTATTTAAAGCATTTGTTCCATTAAATAAAAAGAGGGAAACTTGGCTGCTCAAACTAGTTGATTAGTAGTCTTCTTGGTACCTTCTAAAGGCTATAGGAATGCTGTTTCATGAAACTTCCTTTAGTTTTTGTTGCCACTTTAAATATGTACGTTTATATTTTGACTGTGGTGTCCATTGATTTGCAGTGTCAAACACACCTGCACCGTTTCTTTGTTTAGAAGTTTTAAAAACAAAAAAAATATTAAAAACAATCCTATATGTAGTATAACAATGTTCTGTATCTTTGGACCAATTTCCAACGTATTTATCTCTGAAATAATCAATTGAAATGGCAATTTAAGAATCCATCCAAAGTAGGCTGAAAACCGGTGTTCTCGGCACTGCAATTTACTGTATAGCTAAGAAAGGAAAAAAATGTTAAATGGATTTTGTTTTTATAACTGTTTCTGGGTCTAGATTAAAAAAAACAAAACAAAAAAAAAAACATAAAGCTTTTAACTAAATTCTTATATTACACCCATTCTTCCCAATTAATAGTTTGTTTCTATGTTTTGAAATAAGTCTTTATTTTCTTTGTTTTGGGGTGTGAATGAAGGCTTTTCTTAAAATGTAAAAGGGGAAATAAGTGTAAATAACATTAAATAATGTAACTTAGGTTTAGATCCCAAATGTATTTGGATGTACAGGTTTATTACGGAGTACTTTTTTCTGACAATGATTCGATGTACAAATTCTGTGGTGTCTGGTGGCTTTTTACATCTTGCCTGCCATTGCATGAGACATTGTTTTTTTTTCTTCATAATGTGTCAGGTTTAATTATTTTTTATTTTGGATTTCTTTTTATTTTTAATTATTTCCTTCTGATGCTCTTACAGAAAAAAAGTCAAATTTGTAATTTAGAACATTGAATTTTTGTTAATCTTGACTGGACACTTGTGTAACATCTGAAGCATTGTGGCTTTGGAGTGTTCAGAGAACTGAAATAAAATTTTCAGACAAAATGTCTTGATTATACACTTGTTTTTATTTTTGGACACATTCAGGAACAGTTGGGATGAATTTTAATATATCTGCTCCTTATGTGCGCAGTTTGCAAGGGAGTTTGCTCTGACTGGTTAAATTGTGACCCTTCCACCACTCTAAGTTTAAGCTCTAAGTTTAAGTTTATATGTTGCCATTTATTTATTTTAAGTTGTTAAAAAACTTTTATCGGATGAAAGCCAAGGAGTGTTCAGAAAAATCAAATCACTTGCTCCTCCATATGAATGTTGGGTATTCCTGCCTAAACAGGATTGAGACTGTTCACATAGCCTGTTTCTGTATGTTCCAAATGTACATTTAGTGATTGTGCAGCAATGTGTAATTTCTTTCTATGTAAATATTGCATATGTAGATCATTACACATCATTGTACTAGGCTAGCATTCTCAGTCATTTGAATTGACCGAGCTGCCAACTTTTTAACGTCCCTTTAACTTCCTTTGTTTTCTTCTTATATGGCTTGCTTTGTCATCTACCTTTGCATGAGATAAAATAATTATAATGCTGGTTCTATTCTTCATACCCATATCCCATATTGTAATTTTTCCATTCATTTTCAAGAATTGTTCTTCAAGTACTGGTAGTTGCACACAGCCAGATGCACATTAAAAGTAAAATGTGCATTAACGTGTAATAAAAGATTACTTATTTTAAAAGCTGCACTGTGTCCCTTTTAACCACTTCTTTATGAATACAAATTTTCACTGTGTTGGCATTTCACTGAAATTCCAACCCAGTCAAGAGACATGCAGAGACAAAGTAGAGACTACTTTGTGTCTGTATATTTCCTACCTTGACATTTGTAGACACTGGGTGTAGCTACCGTTGTCTAGAAGTGTCAGTCCCCCCAGACAGAAGCTGAAGAGGACCCGCTGGAGGAAGATGGCAGATTTAGGTAAGAAAATGTCGCCTTTACTTTTTTTTTTTTTCTCTTTTCTGACCAAAAACTTTTCAGTTAATCCAGAGCCAGTGCACATTCACCTAAACTGCCATCATGTCCAAGCACTAGGCATCTCAAAAATGTATTCTGTGATGGTTTCAGACCTTTAGATTGTTCATTTTGTTTTGTAGCAGACTAAATATTGGAGGCTCACATGAAGCAAGGTTACGCTAAGAAGTGTATTAAAGGAGTCTTTGACTCTTTGCAAAATAAATGAGGCTATAATGCATGTAAATTTTTATTAAAACGAAGAAGATGACCATTTTCTTTTAAGCTCATGAGCATCATGTCATGCATTGACTGCTGTAGGAATTGCCTAAACCTGCTTAAGTGGTTCAAGTTTTGTCCTCTGTTGAGCAGTCATGATGCAAATGGTAAACTGAAAATGGCAGAGCCAAAATTTGACAATTATGATCGGGGAAAACCATCCCATAATGAAATGACTTAAACCATCTATAGAAAATGTTACTTGAAACACCATATCTACTTCTGTTTCTTGCAACGGTTATGGTGAAAGGAGTTCCTTGTCTCCCCTCAATCTGCTAATTATAGCTGGTAATAACCCCACTTACCCATTGTATGACTTGATAGTAAGGTTGCTCAAACAGTGCTTGCAAACAGTACAACTCCTAAACAAAGCTGTCTGAAAGCAAGCATTATTAAAAAAAAATCAGTGTTAAAGCCACAGAATATTTGGTTGATTTGTCTACATATATTTCCAAATGGCTATCCACTATGATTACACACGAAGGGTTCAACTTTATACCTTTAAAGAGATGGCTGTAAAGATTACACATAATTTTCGATTAACGGGCCTTATTTTTCAGCATAATACCTTTTTAAGTGTAAAAGTAGCTCTGGAGCCTAAGAAGCTGTGTTCAGACATCTCACTCTTCTCACAATATTGATGCAGTTAACAACATTATAACAGGAAACAGCCAAACCTAGGCAAAGAGAAAAAGATAGTAAATGCTTTATTGGCCTATATTTAAACATACTTTGTTAAATTCCAGGGCCAATTGACTGACCACCTGAAGACTATTAAGACGAGTCAATAAAACTTGCTCTGGATGGCTTTACATTGACAGCATTCTTGTTTGGTTCACATTCATCACACACTGGCCTAGCCTTAATTTTTGGCTTTTTTTATTTTATTTTTAAATTTGGTTTGGTTACAAGAGGTTATTTTCTTTAAAATGTGATTTGTTATATCGTAATGGAAGCTTCACAATACACATATGTACGACATGAGGGAGACTAGACTAATCAGCTAGACATTTACCTATTAAATGTTTTTTTCTTTTCTTTTATAACCTTTGCAACATAAATATAACGGCAGTTCTAGCTAATCATATGACTACAACTGTTATGGAGTATGAAACATATTATGCATTTGCATTCTTACATATGCAGCGCGGTATAAGATATGTACTTTATAGAACTTCACACATACTGCAGGATATGCTTAGATGGGACTTAAAATGCACTTAAAATGTATTTTCTTGTGAGCAGTTATGAAGAAACCCATAATTATTAAAATAAAATAGCATTTTGTAATTGAAATTTGATTGTTGTACAAGCATCATTGCTTAGTTTTTTTTAATTTGGTCACGTTAATATTTTAATACATTTGAATAAAATGTTCTATCCATACACAATTTTGTTTTTGTGCAAGGGTGTAAATATTAAAATGCTGTTCTATTTTGTTACCCTGATGCAAAAAGATTAATTGATGCAGGCTGTCTTGTTTTCTGCCCATCTAAATTCCTCCCACACTGCCCTCACTACAATTGATGGACTATAGAGCACAAAACCCTCTGGAACAGGGGTCACTTTAGCAGCTGTCAAAGACTTGCACACTCTCCATACAGATGGGATGGCAAATCTCATTTCACACAGGGCAAAAAAAAAAGCATGTCTGTAGAATGCAAAATTACTCACATTTTCTACTGTTTTAAAAGCAGATCTATCACTCCTGCCCCCCACACAGAATTTTTTGGATATGGGGTCAGAATTTAATTGTCATATTTGGTACCTAATAAACAGGAAAAGATGTATACCATTTTAGTAATACAGAGTGACTGGTGGTTGTTTGGTTGATAGTTACATGTTAAAAAATACAACTTTATTAATATAGTACACCAGCATTTTTAAAGATCAGCCCTTTATGAAGAGCTTGTGCCTTCAAAATAGTGTTTTATGCCTCTGCTTGAACTTTAAGCAAAGCAGCTGCATAGTCAATATTTGCTAAAGGTTTATATCTAATTAGCAAGGCATTCTTTTCAAGACTCCCTGCAGCAAAAGTTGAACATCTCAAACCTTAACATCTACTCTTTCATGAACGTGGTGCTTCCATTTATTACACAGGAAGCAGAAACATAACCTTGTCATTAGCGTGCCATATAGGCCTTTCTTAAAAAAGGGGAAATTATACCCAAATTTGTGTCATTCTCAATGTTAACTTATCTTGTAAAGCAGTAGGAGAGGAAGCGATGATAATTTTAATAACAAAAAATAAAGGCAGCTAAGGTGGGCCCCTCCAGGAAATTGTCTTGCGTCTCTTTAAAGTAAGAAGCTGTATGCTCAAATACCCAGCTTTGCCCAAGGGCATCCAAAATGCGATATCTAGTAACAACCCAAATGGTGTATATGTGGGATGTGTAATGAGTGACAAGACTGTAATACTTCACCACTATTACTGGACCCTTGTTTTTACTTTGTTGAGCATACATTAGCTTGTTCTAGTGAATTATGATATTTTAAATTTATTTCTTTTATATATAAGCTCTTTGCTTTATTTCCATCAAGCTTGGTTAATTTTCAAACGTAAAAGAAAAAGGAGAATAAGTAGATATTTACAAGTTTCAGACAAAATATTTTTATTTGATTGGTAAATGAACGATGGATAAAATAGTTTAAAAGGAGAAAAAAAAAAGTTGGAATCAGGTGAGACCCAGTATTATTATTAACCTTTAATAGTGCCAACATTATGTGCAGTGCTTTACAAATATATAATGGGGAATTTTAACAAGTAATTGACACAAAAACATTGTAGACGTGAAGACGGCTGTGCTAAAACAAAACTTACAATCATGTAGTTCCAAGGATGAATGATGGATACTCTGCACTGGTTGGGAACAAATCTATGACTTTAAATTTTAATAAAGTATCTTCATACCCAATATAAACTTTCTACCATTGTTCCAGAGGCATGACTTTGGATCAAATCACCAGATAAAAATGTCCAAAAAAAGCAGTTACTTGTCAGTTGGCTAATGCACTAATAAAGCAAGGTAAATCATTAACAAAAATATTTTTTTTTTAAAAGCAATGCTATTGAATTGGGTAAAATTGAATCTATGGCATGCTAAATCACTCAGAATTCCCCCTGGGGAGAAAACGCTTTCTGTTTTAGAATAGATGGTTTAAGCAATGGTTTGGTAATCCTCATTTGAAGCACCATTATTCTTATACGGATGTCTTGCAGTCCTAATTTGTGGTGGTTCCTGAGGACAGAGCTATAACTACAGTATGTAATACAATTTCAGCATCTTTTAATTGAAGTGATATTTTTGTTTTATACCGCAAGTTTAAATAAAGCAAGTATATTTCATGATGTCCTATATTTGACATTCATTGGGAGGGGTAGAAATAGACTAGACGGGATGTATGATGTATGAAATAATACTACTCCCTTTAAAAGACTATGCATCAGTGGAAGGCCACTAGTGTCAATATGTGTGAAAATACACCCCTAATAATCCTTTACCAGCCTATGGATGGCCAAGCATTATAAAACTTCTAGTTGGACATCTGACAAGCTGTAGGCTGCATACCCCTGAACTAGATTCTTAGTTTGCTCATTGAAATACTTACTTTATACTGGAAATCGTACGTGCAACATTTTCCTGGTTCATTATATGCACTTTGGAGGCTGGAATTTCACAAAGATGATTTTCTATTAATGCATTTACAAATATATATCTAATACATGATAAACGAAGCATAGGTCTCCTTGTTGAATTTTTATTTGTAATATATGATGTGAAAAATGCTTCATGCACATTCTGATCATTTAAGGCAATTATTCATACACATAAACAGTTACCAAGGCAACCTTTATCAGGAAATGACACTGATCTTTCAGACAAAGCTTCTTTTTAGCTAGAACAGCGAGTGTCCTTGGTCCCAGGCTCTTTGTAAACTATTTCAATTCACATTAACACACTAAATAGTGTGTCCTCATATCGTAAACCCAGTGATGGAATGCTTGATCAATATTTTCATGATAAGATCAAACTAAGTGACTTGGCATAGCTGTATTTTCCAGTTGTTTGAGAAGTTGGCTAATATTTGCATTATAACTTTAGTTGACTTTGGTTTGCTTATAATAGTTGTTAAAGCGGCTCTGTCACATTTTTTCTTTTCTTATTAGGCATGTCCTAAATAAAAATCAAAGCTCATTTTGAAAGTTTTACATAAAGAAAAGTAGAGTCTATTTTTTCTTATGTATAACTTTAGGTTGACAAAGGATAACACTTGAGTCAAGCTGATGGCTGTGGCTGTGACAGTCACCGTCACTGGGGATGGAAGACAGACACTATGGGTGGGCTCATGGCCTTTGTCATTGGCTGTATTCACCTCCTTCCAACATTGCAACTGTGCTAAATGTCGTGTGAGATTCAGCAAAGGTCCAATGGAAGTCTTGAGAGTGCACATTGTTTGACACGCTTAAAGAAGGGCAGAATGTGTCATTCTTGGCGACGCTATCTTAGGAAAACAAATGTGTCGGTGCTTTTAGACCAGAACAATGTTTGCGAAACTAAGTTACACCCCTCCTGGGGCCTAAAATAGTTAAAGGGAGGCTTGGGTTCAGACCCTGAACGAACAGTTGCTTTAAGAAGCTTTTATTTTGTTTATTATACAATCCTGCCATTAGATCCTTTGCAGGGTTACCGACCTGTTCAGCACACCTAAGTAAAAAAAACACATTCCTCTGATACTCTACAAGTGGTATGTTCAATTTTCTTCCAATGAAATTCTTAAGTATGCACGTGTTCACAGGAGAAAACTGGGTGAAATTAGTCATTTACATTGAATGCCAAGATATACCAAGACAGCAACTAAAAGCTGATGCAAGCTACATGGTTATGTGTATAATGTAAACAATCAACTTTAATAGTGCAGAAAAAATTAAAGATAGTTTTACATTTACTTATGATAATATAGCTTGTCAGATATCTCAGCACTTAGAGGTCCACCAGTAGGATCCAAGACTCATCGGTTTATTCAGTTACGTGTGAACTGACATGAAATTTCAATTTTAAACCAAAAACTGAAGTTAAAGGAATACGATAGTCATCAATACTTAATGAAGTAGTTTGGTGTATAGATTATGCCCCTGCAGTCTAAAATGAGATGTGAAACTTCCTTTATAGCCCATTTATAGCCCATTTTGCTTGTTAGAATCTTCTGCTCTGTAAATAGCATTCTAGACCATACATGAGCCTCCAGTGTATGATTAGAGTTCAATTTACAGAACTGGAGATAAAAACAGAGATGAAGCAAGCTAAAATAAGATTGAAGATGATACCTTGCTTCATGTAGACTGTATGAGTCCGTTATGTTGATTAGAATGCTCTGGCAGCAGCCACTTTTCTAATATCAAACTCTTTAGGAATAACAATTCTTATCTTGGTCACGTAAAATTCTTAAGCGAAATCTTTATTAAATAGTTTAAGCATGCGTGGGATAGGCATAAGGCTATCCTAACTATAAGATAAGGCCAGGGACTAATGAAAGTATTTTTTTTTTTTTTTTTAATTGGGCAGACTAGAAGGGCTGAATGGTTCTTATCTGCCGTCACATTCTATGTTTCTATGTAAATTGCTCTATCAACATTTCCACATTCTCAATGTTTGTTTCGTCCACCCTGGATGGCATAAATTGGCTGAGCATGGTGGGCTTACCTGCCCAAGTGCAAAAGCAGTAAGATATAGAACTATTTATCAACGTTATGGTGACAGGAGGTGCAGGTAGCTATTTGGCACAACTGGGTAATGCTGAACGATAACTTGTAAGAAAAAAGTTACTATATTAACTATAATTTATTATACAGTTGTGTCTTGCATTGAATCCACTATGAGATCTATATTTTTAGATATAAGGCTAGTGTTTTCCATTTAATGCATCAAACTTTTTTATAATTATTATACTTTCTGCTTTTTTCTATATTTCATGGTTGTTTTGAATGTCCTTTGATTTTATATATGCCTAATTGATTGTGGATGGATAATTTGTTTACCCTATTTTTTTCCCTTTTTTTTTTTTTTAATTCTTTTGTACCGTTTCGCTTTGTTGGTTTCCTTAAAACTTTTTATTGTAAAATCCCCCTTATGCACAGAAACTCAAATTATGTTCCCAGAAGTATCCAACAGTTACCAGCTTGACATGCGAGCAAGCACAGCTAGTCCCCGTGTTTCATCCTTCACCCTATATTACTTCAGGTACCTTTAGCAATGGATGCTGTTTTAGGCATAGTCTGTGGTCCAAAAGGACCATAAACCAGCCCTGGACTGTATAGTTTCAACCTTTTGGATCTCACCAGCGTGGTGCCAGGTCTCGTCTAAATATTGAAGTCTCTCTAAAAGCAA